GTGATGGTGGTGTTATTGGTTTTTTTTAGGAAAGTGTTTATTAGGGTGGAAATTTAATTATTCAATAATTTTTTTCTTTTAAAGAAAATTGATTTTGATGTTTTCAATGCCACCATAGTAACAAATATTTGAAATTAAAAACAAAACAAAACAAAATTCAATGAATGAATGAGTGAGGATTGCTTGTTTTTGGGGGTAATAATATCAACAACAAAAAGAAATAAAGAAAGAGAAGACAGTTATTCATTTGAAAAAAAGAGTTAGATACAATTTCAATGAACTGACTTTGACCTTAAAGATTGAAATATAAAATATGTTAATCAATGAAGTGATTATTTTATTTATATATTTAAACATATAAATATTGGTGGATGTGTCGCTCAATTTCGTGGATTAGTTGAAGTGAGACATTAACACCGTTGGATGACAGCCGGCTCAGTGGTCTAGTTGGCTAAGCGCCTGGCGCGAGACTGATATGTCCTGGGCTCGAATCCCGCGGGGCAGGGTCATGGATGCTCACTGCTAAGGAGTCCTACAATAGGATGTAATGGCCGTTCAATGCTTCCAGGTTTTCAGTGGTGGTCTAGCTTCATGATCTCAACTGTTGAAATTATATAAATATTTGTACAAAGAGGCAACAAATACGTATGTCACACACTTCGTCATTTGATTTATGTGGGGGTTGGGATCTTACACGAGTCTCTTGACTGAAACAGTTAGTTTTCTTAGGAGAACACTTTCCGGAGCCTTTGATCTAAAGGTCTGATCCACAAGGCTGTGGAGCAATGTAAGGAGATGCAATCCAATAGTTGCCGGTGTCCAAGAATAGGTTCATACACCATTTGTTCCTTCGGGGTCCTTGAACCGATGTACACCATTTGTTTGAATTCAGGGTTTTCCAACATCTTTAAGTGGACTCTTTGTGTTCACAAACTCGGTTAAAGCTCCGGACATTCGTGTTTCGTCGTTTTAATTTTGTAAAGAACACCCCTGTCACGAGAAAGCAGTGCGTAGGACTTCCGTGATAGTGATTGTATGCACGTGGCCATGTGAGAGGATTTCGAGAGAGAGAGAAAGAGAGAGATGACTCTTTCCACTTTCCGCCGAACCAGGGCATTTGGGAGTTAGTGGTTACAGATCGGTTTATGTTTAGACCAAAGCGATTTGATTCTAACTCAATATTATAATGAAGGTTAAAAGCTTGTTGTGTGACCTGGAAAATCCGAGTTCAATAATTAGTGCATTAGTGAATGTTTAGTGTTTAGGAGGACTTACACTAAAACGAACGATTTGTTTAGTGCTCTTTAGTTTTCAATGACTGTTGAAATAAGGTTAGTCTGTGATGTACAACGGAAAAATAATCAAATGTTGTCTGTAGTGAAGGAGAACACGGGTGAGCACAACCAATTGCATTTAGGACAAATTACAGAATTACTTGGTAAAATAGAAAAACCATTTAGTAAATCGTTAATTTGCAAAATATCATTCTATCATATGAAACCGGACAGTTGCTGTGGCAAACATCAATTCATTGTCTTGCATTTCATTGTTCATGCGATTTCTTACAAATTCCATTGTTTTCTCGCTCTTCTTTTCTTGATCTTCTCCATCTTCTGCTGCCAAACATTACGTTCTTTTGACTCACGTTATATAGTACTTATATCAATATAAGTAGCACGCACCACATGTCTACTGAAAAGTATAGAAATTTACTTAGTTATAATTTTCAAGTATTTTCAAGAGAATTTCATCATGTATGGAAATTGGCTAAAGGGTGTTCGGAGACAAGCGAAGTAATGGTTAACTGGTTCATCTTGTTTTAAGATTTCTTAGCAATCTATTTTTGTAGTCATGTGGTATATTGTACCAGTCAGCTTCAAGTCTCTTAGTAACCACTGTACATTTAAATTATTGAATTGCCAACTAAACAGTACACATTGTTCAACATCATTAGTTTGACAAAATAGTTCATTCACCTCCGTATTCGTAAAATTCCAGTTTTGATTACCTTTCAAATAGAAATATTCTTAATTTGTTTTGGCTTTTAAAATGTACTCAATCTGTTTTCATTTTATGAGGAAAATCATGTCCAAATTACAAACATAGAACCTCACAAAACGTCTTAGACAAATGTTTGTCGATTTAGAAGAAGAAAAAACTATTTATTAAATTATAATTAGAGGTAATGATGGCTAGCAATGGAATCTAAGATGTGGGTTTCATCCTATTCGGGACTCGTTAGCCGGATGTACCTGCATCCTAGAATTGATGTTTACTTCGACACTCAAACCCATTGCCGTTCGCATCACACACCATCGGGTTATCCACTTAGCTGCCAAGTCCAGATGGCCAATACAAAAGTGAATTAAACTTCATCCCGTTGCACAAGTCAGTGACTATCTGCACTCAGTAGCTAAATGGAAAACATGATGGTATTTTAAGTGAATGGTACTGGGTTCGAGTCCTAGAGTGAATGGAACGAACGTCCTGAATTCCATTAATGGACACCATCATTGCCGTTTATAATGTTTTTGACTTAAGATAATGTCGAAGGAATCCTCACAAGATGCACTCATAAAAATCAATGGGAAGATTCAAACAACCAATACATTCTAACTTCATTATCTTTAATAACCCGAACACTTAGCTCAAAATACTCCAATAGTAACAAAACATTGAATCATAAAAAAATATTTATATCCACTTAATCTGTTGTTAAGTGAATCTTTCATATGACTGTTGCTAACACTAAAATATGTTCAAATATACAAATATTCTTAATTCGAGAATACATTTGATCATGCTTAATTAACTTTGAAGTACTATCAAATAATGTTTATTCATGCATCTATTCTAATATCAGCTTATTCGGACCAAATGTTACTTCATTATGAGCACATCAAAACTAGTTGACACAATTGTTTCATGTTTCACATTCAATAATAATTCAATTTCATATCAACTTAGTTACACATTAGGCATAAATCTTTACAATCTTCTTTACTATTCATTAAAAGTATGACTTGTTAACCAACCAATCAGATTTAAGATGGCAAACTGTCGATTCAAAATGCAGTGACGGATAACTTGTATCTTATTAAAAAGTAAGATATATGTAACATTTTATGAACATTTAGTTACCAAGACAAATCAAATTAAGAAATATGATAAGTTTGAAGAATAGGGACTGATTTCAAGGATTCTTTAGATGATGTTAAGAATGTGGTGAATTTTCTATGGAGGAATTAATAGAAATCAAATGGAATGGGAATGCACATAAGACTAACATTCAATTAAAATTATTCACATTAAAGCTTTTTTTCTAAGTTATTCGAAAACACTACTGTTCCCTCTTACCATTAGCCCTAAATCATAAACCAATCAGCTTATGATAATAGGATTCTGGGGGAAATTTTGGGGTTTTGGTGCCACTTCCCCAAACTTTTCTATAGCGGCTTCCCCAAAATCGGGAGATCGGGAAGGCTCAAAATTTTAATCTTAACGTATTTTGAGGTTTTATTTGAGTAATTATTCATTTACATCACCTTTATTCTGATTGGCTAAGATTTGATAGATACTAATTTTTCCCAGTCATTTTGAGATTCATTCAACATCAACAGTAAAGTAGGCGAGACTCTAATTTATGGACGAGCCGATCAGAAGCATTTGAGAGATTTCAAGGTTACGGCGCCAACTTCAGTGCTTAATGCTAACGTACGATCGGTTCACATGGAATTTTAGTACGAAACGTGACAATTGAGAGACCATAACAAATAAAATGGCGGGACTATAACTTGTGGACGTATCAATGAGGTATAAGATATTAGATCTCGGATTATAACGCGAAAGCCTTTTATCCATTTGGCTAAATAAAATTTCTGGCATTATAGCTGATGTCAGTTCGTGATGAAAAACCCATATATAATTGCTAAAGCAAATTACGACAATTATTGCGAACTGGATAATAAAAGCACCAGTAACGCTGGCTGCAGCCAGGTACTACAATATATACGGATGTTTGGAGAGCGTACATACTCCTACATAGACTTGGTCATGTGTGTCGTGTCGTTATACACAAGTAGCATTTGGTGCACTCAACAACCAGAGTGCACATAGACAATGTTGAAGCTATGTGGTCGAGGCTGAAAGAGTTTTTGAGACTTTATCATGGCTCCAGAGGCCGACTATTCTGTAGCTGTATGGATAATTTCCTCTGCTGCATGTATAACGATTTTAGAACCTCTGAATCTCTTTCTAACCTCGACAAATTTTTGAACCACGTTAGAGAAGTGTATCCACTTTATTTCTTGATTTTGTATAACATATATTTACTCTATACTGACTGTTTGCTGATTGACTAATATTTCTCAAAGTCACTTAAGATTCGTTCAAAGGTCGTCTATAAATTAGAGTCTCGCCGTAAAGTAGGTTTCTATTTTATTTTATTTATTTATTTTAACACATAAATATAGGTACAAAGAGGCACCAAATAGATATGCGCCACACAAGTCACTTGATTTGTGATCGGGATGTAATACTGTCCGGGTGCGCAGACCGAAGTAAGTGACCTTCTTAGGATGCCACACCTGGAGCCTTTGATCTAGAAGTCTGATCCACAAGACAATGGAGCAACGTAAGGAGATGCACTTTCATGGTAGCCGGTGAACAACAATTGCTTCATGCACCATTTGCTCCTTCAGGATACTGGAGCCCATGTATACCATTGGTTTGGAATCAGGGTTTTCCTACTCCCATAGGTGGACTCTCCATATCCACCAACCTGGTTACAGCGCCAGACATTCGATTTTCGTCCTCTCAATTTCGCAAATAACAGTAATGCTGCTAAAGATTAGTGAGTAGGAGAACTGACTCTCTCTACTCTCGGCCGTTCCAGAGTATTTGGGGATGGGTTTTCTATCTTCAATCTACTATCTCTAAATAAATAAATAAATGGACAAATATAAATTTTTTCCCCTCTCTTTGTTTATTATCTTTTCCAGCGTTTATTCACAGTAATATTAGAAGCATATGATTTAGTTAATCAAAATGAAAAATATTTAATTGATCGAGCTATACATCGTGGTCTGTTACGTCCATTAATTTCTTCTACAAAACAATCTAAAGATTGGCATCAGGTTACTATATCCACACAATATTCCGGTTATACATTTTGTATACAATTAACATGTGAATTAAATCATTATGGTAATGATTGTACAAAAGTATGTCAAACAAATGATAATCATACAAAATTTAAATGTGATGCAAATGGTGATAAAATATGTGAACCTGGTTGGAGTGGAACTGAATGCGATAAAGGTAATTGAATGAATTATTTATTATTCTGTCTGTTTATCTTTAACATTCTACAATCTTTTAATTTGTAAGTAGCATCCGTCACAAATCGATCTCATATGAGATATCACAGAAAACCAAGATGATCTAGATAAGTGTTTTGTGCCAGTAAAGAACAATCTAGTAATACATATTCAGTAGAAATCATAACTGGTGGAATTCGGACACATCGGGGATGAGACATTTATCATTAATAGGACTGGGATAATCATTAAACAAAATATGGAAAGCTGGTTGAAATTGAAATTGTACTATTTGGCACCGACCCACTGGTTCAAATGATTAAGCGTTTGCCTTATTATCATTATTACTGTAGGTAGTTTATAGAGACTGTTGGCTGTAATAATTTAAATTAAGGATATGAAGTTCTTGGGTTCGATGGCTAGTTGGGTTTTGAGTGTGAACTTCTATAGAGTCTCATACTAAGACCAACCAGTTGTCTGGTGATCCTTGATGAGTTTATTCTGTGATGAATATAACCAGTTATTTTTCATGCCTATTTGTGTGATGTAAATATTGTTCAGATGGGTAATCATGAATATAAGTTATTAGACTGACCCTAACTAATTTCTAAGTGATTACCATCTAAGGGTTGAGTTTGAGTCATTTGAAGCGAGACCACCATAAAAACTCGGAAGCACTGGACAGTCGTTTCGTCCTAGTATGGGACTACCCAGCAGTGCTCACCTACGATACCGCCCAGCAGGATTCGAAACCGGGATCGATCGGTCTAGCACGCGAGCACTTAACCTCTAGACCACTGGGCTGGCATCCATGGTGGTCTAACTTTAATTCGCTTATGAACTCAATCATTATTATTATTACAATATCCACAAAAACCTGATTACTATTTAGTTTGATTCTAGTTTCATCATTGTTCATAATGATGACATACTTAGATGTATCATATTTTGGACACCCTCATGCTGGGAATAACTAAAATTCACTTGACAAGAACCATATTCTTCCCTCTTTTAAATGAAATATTGTAAGTAATACAGGTTGAAGCGAGGCAAATACTATCGGTGTTGAATAAACTAAGGGATTTCATTTGGATATTATTGTAGTGGCTTTGCTTCGTTAATCGACCACCTCGATGTTTGAAATCAGAAAGCAATGAGAAGCGGCAACTACAGTTTATTAGCGAATAGCCCAAATCACAAAGCTATAAGCATATTAAGCGAATTTGAAGCGAAGAGGCGAATAAGTATATATGAGCAAATATATAGGCAAATTTATAGTCATCAAATTGCATAAGGGCACATCAAGCCAAAGCAAAAACTAATAATAGGATTTGAGTACATATGCACATGGGGAGGAGAATGAATCATCGAGTGATATTTAAGCGATCAACACTTTAGCTCGAGTCCGTTATGTGCTCTAGTGTTCATAACAGTACAAAGAAGTTGACGTATTGCTACTGTTCAAATAACATTGTCTGTTAAGTAGATTGATGAAAGGGCCTAACAAAAATTAACCATGATAGAAATTGGTTGTAGGATAGTTGCTATATTATATCATCCATTTAATCCATATTTTAATACAGTAGCTAAGTGTATAACGTGATGGTGTTTGAAGCGAACGGTACTGGGTTCGAGTCTCAGAATGAACATCAACTCTGAGATGCAGGCACATTCAGCTGATAAGTCCCAAATAGAACGAAACGCACATCTTGTATTCCACTGCTAACCACTAACCATTTTTACTTAAAAAAAAACTTGTGATTTAAGGCTATATCAAGGTAATCCGCCCAGGATATTTATATGCCAACAAGAGACTGATCAATTTCAGTCCCTAAGTAACAATCGAAAGATACAAGTAAAAAAAACAACACCAAGTGAATTTAAATATTAATTTACTTTTCCTTTTTTTTTCTTTTTCTTTCGGTTATTTTTGCAAAAAAAAATCACTTCTGAACTTTTCTTTCCTTTACTCCTTCTCTTTACCCCCCTCTCTCACTCACTTTATTTTGTTCCTTCATAATCAATCATAAAATCAAAAGACAAATTCCATTTTCAATTTTCAAAGTTTATGAAATGAGATAAACAAAAAAAAAGAAGAGAGAAAAACAAAGAAAAAAAGAAAAATATTGACGATTGTAATGAAAAAGATTTAAATTGATTAAACTAGTGACATTTTATTTTATTATTATCTAAACAACTATTACTCCCAAATGCTTTGGTACAGTCAAGAGTGAAGAGGGTCAACTCTCCTACTCACTAACTTTTGGAGGTATTACTGTTGTTTATGAAATTGAGAGGACGAAAATCGAATGTCTGGCGCTGTAACCAGGTTGGTGGATATGGATAGTCCATTTATAGGAGTAGGAGAACCCTCATTCCAAACCAATGGTGTACATGAGCTCCAGTATGCTGAAGGAACAAATGGTGCATGAAGCAATTGTTGTTCACCGGCTACCATGAAAGTGCATCTCCTTATGTTGCTCCATTGTCTTGTGGATCAGACCTTTTTGTCAAAGGCTCAGGTTGTGACCCCCTAGGGAAATCACCTACTTCGTTTTGAGTACCCGGTCAGTATTCTAGCCCTCACATAAATCGAATGATTTATGTGGTGCATATCTATTTGGTGCCCTCTTGTAACAATGGTAATGTTTTTCTTGTTTTGTACCATTTTTTATATGATAAAGAAAACAAGCGAAACAAACTGTAATTTAGATGATGTGTAACTATTGAACAATTTTATAAGAATAGATTTATATTATAGAATTAACAATAGTGAGTTAGATAATCATTATACTCATTTACTTACTTACGCCTGTTACTTCTTTTAGAGAAGTATAAACTGCTCACTAACATTCTCCACTCAACTCTATTCTCAACAATCCTTTTCACTTGTTTACAGTTGATCTGTCCTTCTAATTTCCGATGTAATGTGTTGTTTTGTTCTTTCTCTTTTCCATTTCCTTTCACGATTCCAAGTTAGCGCTTGTTTCATGATGTAGTTTGATGATTTCCTCAATGTATTTCCTATCCACTTCTAGCGTTTTTTTTCTTAATTTCTTCCTCAGCTGGAAGCTGATATGTTCTCTCCCACAACAGACTGTTGTTGATGGTATAATCATTATTAACCATAAAGAACTTAAACAGACTATTTATTATTACAATGTAAAACTTATCAACAATAGACTCTGACAATTTCATCAGGGATCCCACTCATAACCGCTCACTGACTTGGTATCTAATAATTCTCTTTTGAACTTCATATTCAAATAGACAATTCATTTTGAGCAAGTTTGAAACAAATGTAGCTAATTACATTTGTTCAGAGATATTCTATTTATGATCACAATTCAAAGCAGTCAGTCTTAAACTTATTATGATGTGTTCATGGTAATAAACTTTAAATCAAGAAAACAAAAATGAAGTCATTCACGGTGATTAGTAGAGAAAATCAGAATGCATGTTTTGTTCCAGTTGAAACTTGTCAGTTTGATATGCCTGTTCCATAGAGTTGACATTCCCATTAGGGTTTAAACCAGTCTTCTGGCTATCTGAATTCAATAGTTTAATGAATAGCATTATTATGTGTTGCGTAATAGTTACCATTTTCGACTCTTAGAGTAAATACCAATACCAATTCATGTATATACCATTAACTTAGTTCCCAGTATAATAAAATATCCATTCTAGATTTCAATGTTATCTACTAACTAAAATATTATCAGTATTTATTCAAGGGGATCATATGAGAACATTGACTAAATGAGTTCGTATGTCAACAAAGGTTGAGCCAACTCTGTTTCCAATGGAGGTATCTAAAAAGGAAATTGGACTGGTGGTGGTCTTAGTGACCTGTGAGCGTGACTGCAGTGCCCAAGGGACAACTACCTGAGGACGGTCACACACGACCTTTTTGTGAGTAATTTTCGTGTTAGCTCCGTAATTGTTGAGACCCTACCACCGGAGATGGATATCGTGGGATAAGGCGGGGTGTGTATTCCTAGGGTCGACCTTTTCTAACCCCACACGCAGCATTGCTGTTACGCTGGTTGTCTGAAGGAAACACCTTACTACCGTCACACCTCCGTACAGTTAGCAGTACGACTTCGCCTTCGAGCCTTGGGTTTGTTACTTTTAGTCTTACCGCTCTTCAACCTACCTCTCTGGTATGGTAGGACCATGAGGAACGACTGTTCCAACCAGTATAGCTCAATTGGTTCATCACGATAGGCAAGCCCGACCATCACGTCAAGGTAGCAACAACGGTTGGGCTGTTTCCAATACAAACAATAGGAAAATAGAACTTCTTACAGATAAAACATAATCTTCATTAATATTGTTAATTGTTCTATCAAATAATTTAAAGATATTACGACTGAAATAATTAAATATAAATTATATGATAATTGTTATATTCCATATGTTTTATACTTAGCAATATGCAATATTGGTTGTCATCCAGTTCATGGAACTTGTTCAAGACCAGGAGAATGCGAGTAAGTTGATGATTATCTCTAATGAATTTAAAAAAGATTGAATAATTATATAGAAAAAAAACTGATTAGTCATGGAGTAGTGGCCAATGTTATATTTATCAGTATTTGGTTGTAGAGATTATTAAGTTTTTGATTAAGATCACGAACCCGATTGATGTTTGACCGCCATTGAAAACCTGGAAGCACTGGACAGCCATTTCGTCTTATTGTGAGTCTTCTTAGCAGTGCACATTCACAATCACATTTGAAGGGATTCAAACACAGAGCCTTCAGTCTCGCGCGCGAATGCTAAACCTCTAAATCAGTGGAGCTAATCCTTATCGGGTAGAGACAAGTATCTACCTTAGTACAATGTAAGATGGTCGCACAATTTTGTGGATTGATTGAGGTTAAACATCAACACTTTTGAATACCGGCTCAACGGTCTAGAGGTTAAATGTTAGCATATGAAACTGGAGGCTTTGGATTCTCGTTCTTTCTGATGTGAGGTTGTGGATAGGCACTGATGAGGAGTACCATACTAGAACAAAACAACCGTTCAATACTTTCAGGTTTTCCATGATGGTAGCCTAGTTTTAATCGACTCATCAACTCAACTATTAAATCAATTTTTAATTTTTTTTCTTTTCTTTACGAGTGAAGTAATTATCACCCTACACCTCCTCGCCCCCTCCCCCCTAAAATATAATTTTTTAGAAAAAGAAAGCAAATAAACAAATTACCGATAATATACATTGATTAGTTATCCTTCATAGAACTGTAATAAAATGATAATTAAAATTGTTGGTCAAAATATTTTTGGCTTGTTTACTTGTCTACTGTTGATAAACTGATAACTGTTCTGACACATTTTTTGATTGAAATTAGGAATCGATTAATGCTAAACTAATAATGAGAATCTAGAAGCACTGAATAGCTGTTTCGTTCTAGTATAGAACTCTTCAACAATGCATATCCACGATTCTGTATGCGGGATTCGAACCTGGAATCTTTGATTTCATGCATGAACATTTAATCTCTGGATCATTGGACCGGTATCCAATGATGTGTGTGGTATGTGCTAATTATATTGACATAAGTAGTATATGATGTTAGTCAGCAACAGAATGTTTGGCAGCAGAGAAACAAGGGGATCGAACAGTAAAGAATGGGAACAGAATGCAATTTGTGTGAAAATGTAAGAACAATGAAGTCTGAGTCATTTTGGAGACAATTGATGGACATTTTGTAAATTAAGCATTTACTATATGATTGTTAGATTTTATTGAGATGCTCTGTAATTTTGTGTCAAATACATTCGATTATCCCCACCCATGTTCTGTTCACTACAGTGTGCACTGTTGAGGAGTTTCATACTAGGACGATACAGGAGTCCAGTGTTTCCAGGTTTTAAATGGTGATCTTACATTGGTCGATTCATGATCTTAATCAAAACTTAACCGTTTCCATAGCACTATACTCTCTCCTATTTCCCAATTACTCGTAAAACAAAAAAACACTAGTCACTTCTCTTGGCATTGAATTAGTGGTCAATGTAGGAATTCATACGTTTACAGGTATCTTTTTTCAATTCTGTTCCGTAATACTATTTAATCAGAGTTTGGGTGCAACTAGAAAGGTAATAAGTAGACCTAATTTAATGTTTACTACTTGATCTATCTCTAAAATCTCAATTAACATACTGCGTACCAGAATATGAAGGAAATATCAGTTAGTCAGTCAGCTACAGCTTAAGATCAGGCACATATATACATCGGTTCAAGTTGCCATACCTCATTAACACAACAAGATGGACACCGGATTCATAAAAGTAGTTAATTCAGAGGTGGTAATATATAAAAGAGAGATTGCAATAAGGATATAGTACAGGAAGAAAGAATGAGTTCGTAGAAAGAAAGATATAAAGCTATTTTAATCCCACAGTTTAAATGAATACAGAGAGTGTATTCACCTACACCATTGTGATCGATCCTTATCCATGTCACCCACAGTCTCCAAGCATTGGTTACGATAGTCACCCGGACCCCAACCAAGTAGTCTGCATCTACCGATATGGCTCAGACCAGAAGTTAGCAACTTCAAGCAATGATGCCACGTTTTGATTTGGTCACCCCTAACTTTCTTCCAACAATCTCCAACACTAGTCAGCATTGCGCGTCGTGGTTATGTGATCAGTTTCAAAGGATAAGAGTAAGACATACACACATATTGAGAAACAGTCGTTAATTCAGTCAAATCAATAATTATGATCATCAGTCATATGTATATAAGAAGAATATGGTTTTCATTAATTGATGGTTAGATAAAGTCAAATCACATCTAGATTAAATTGAGTTAAAGTAGTGAATGTTTACAGTTAAGTTACAATTGGTCACTATAGTTGTGAATATAACTATGACACCCATTATGAGTTATTAAGCCTACAAGAAGAAACAAGAAAGGATATGTATTATTGGATGTTATTGTTGTATATATATTTTAGAATTGAATTTATTAATCTCGGTTGACATTTGAGGTCGTTTCACGCTGATGAAGAATGTGTAACCATCGAGGTGTGTGTTGTTTCCGGTGGTCGACATCTTTTTGTAGCTCTGCTTATCTTACTTACTTACGCCTATTACTCCTCATGGAAGAGCATAGGCCACCTACAAGCACTCTCCACCCAACTCTGTCCTGGACAATCCTTTCCAACTCTTTCCAGTTTTTATTCATCCTTTTTATATCTGCTTCTATTTCTCGACGTAATGTGTTCTTTGGCCTTCATCTTTTCCGCTTCCGATTCCAACGTCATTTCCTAATTTCCTCTTCAACTGAAAGCTGATTTGTCCACTCCCACAGTAGGCTGTTGCTGATGGTATCCGGCCAATGGATATTGAGTATATTGTGTAGACAATTATTCATAAATACTAGTACCTTCTTGATGATGGTTGTAGCAGTTCTCCAAGCCTCAACTCTGTACAGTGAAACTGTCTTGACGTTGGTATTGAAAATTCCCACTTTGAAATTGGCTGACAGACAGTGGGTTTGAGTTCCATATATTCTACAGTTGTAAGAATGCCGCCCTTACTTTGCCAACACGTGTACATCTGATCTTCCTTGTTCATCGACGATGCCTTCCAGGATGAAAGCCGAGATTCGGCTAAATGCCTAATTATCAAAATATCTGAACATTAAAACTTTATAATCAAAAAATATTATTATGAATCTATAAGACAGCTTGCTGTCAACATGATTATATGAATTAAAAGTAACACCATATTTAAGGCTTTATAATGTAATTGATATATTGATAAACACCTTTGGATTGTACACAAGATGCACTTGTAACCTGATCATTGATAATATTTACAGAGTCAAATAAATCCATACAAGAAGATTTTGTGTTCTTACTACGTAATATTGAATTCGGGGTTCTAGTATCAAGCATATGTCATTTATTCATTCAGCAGTATGTGATAAAGACAAGCATAGTATCACATATATTAAGAGCAAAAATGGATAGTGGCTAGCAGTGGAATCTAGAACGCTCGTTTCATCCTATTTAAGACTCGTCGGCTGGATGTATCTGCATCTCAGAGTAGATGTTCACTCCAAGACTGGAACCTAGTACTATTCACTTTAAATGCCATCGTGTTATCCACTTAGCTACTGAATCCTGATAGCCATTTGTTTGTGCAATAAAGTGAAGTTTAAATTCACTTGGTATTGTTAACTTGAGTCTTCCATGATTGCCTCGATATATAGTATACACATATAGCAATAAGACATTGATCAATTGCAGTTCTAAACATCAATAGGAAGATGCAAACAAACAAATTTAAGTGAATTTAAACTTCATCCCATTGCACAAGCAAGTGATTATCAGGACTCACTAGCTAAGTAGATAGCGCGATGGTATTTGAAGCGAACGGTACTGGGTTCGAGTCTCAGAGCGGACATCAACTCTGAGATGTAGGTACATCCAGTTGACGAATCCCAAATAGGATAGAACGCGTGTCCTGTATTCCACTGCTAACCAGTATCTATCTTTGCTTATAATGCTTATGAATTAAGGCAATATCGAGGTAATACACACAGGATACATATATGTCAACAAGAGAGTGATCAATTGGAGTCTTAAACCTCAATGGGAAGATTTAAGCAAAACAATACCAAGTGAATTTATCACATTTATTGGGTTTTTTTCTGTTTAGTTCTATTCATAGTAACTTTCATTTTTCACTTACTCATTCTACACATTATCTTTCTTTATAAGTTGTTCAACTGGTTGGCAAGGTCCACTTTGTGATGAATGTATAAAATATCCAGGATGTAAACATGGAACATGTAATGATGCACCATTTACATGCCGTTGTTTACCTAATTGGGGTGGATCATTTTGTGATCAAGGTCAGTTAATGTTAGATATAATAATAATAAAACAATCAGCTTTCCTCAATACATTAACGAATTCACAAGGCCAAATATAGAAAACTGTTTAAGATATACCTACTTTTTAGGGATTTAAGTAATGAATATTACATAATTATGTGTGATTACATGATAAGATGTATAGAAACCATTTCATAATGTTTCTGATTGAGATCATGAACCGATTGATGTCAGATCACCATTGAAAAACTGAAAGTACTGGATAGCCGTTTTGTCTTATTTTAGGACTCCTCAGCAGTGCTCATTCATGATCCCGCTGGCAGGCTTCGTTGAGGTTAGACATAAATACCTTTGAATGCCGGTCTAGAGGTTAGGCGTCCGGATTCGAGGCTGAAGGTCTTGGCGTCGAATCCCGCGAGGCGGGCTCGTGGATACGCACTACTAAGGAGTCTCACGGTAGGATTTCAACAGTGATCTAACATCAATCGGTTCATGATCTTAATCAAAAGCTTAATAATCTCCACAAACTTATATTGATATTTCATAATGTATCATCATGTTTTTATTAAGAATTAGATTTATGATGCATCTCTCAAAGAATGTGTTAGGTCCCGATAAGCAAAATGAATGGTAATTTTTGGGATCCATTTATGAGTTATAATAGAATGCTATCACATGTGAAACTTTAATTTAATCACCATTGTGAATGATCTAATATTACAGAGTACTTCACTAAATATCATTAGGTTAGAATCAACCAGTATGAAGGTGTTAAGATAAATCTGTACTAGTTGACACCCCCCCTAGTAACTAGATATATCTGTGTTCTTGAAGAAATTGATTCTTCTCGTAAAGTTTGAATCTTGATTTTTATAGTTAGAGGATATTCTCACTTAAACTATTCAAGCAGTAGCCAACTTACTGAGTTATTAAACGTAGTCAATCAGACAGAATTAATCAACTTTCTATTCGGCAACCTTTAGTGTTAACTGAATTCAAGATGAAACTCGTTCATGTCAACACCATAGGTTTATACTTACTTATATGATTCATTCATGTACATCAATACAAATAACACAATAGAGTATTCTATTCTAATTCTATTTTCTGTTTCATTATTCACTAAATGAATACATAGATCTGGATTACTGTGGACGACATCAACCATGTTTAAATAATGGAATATGTAGAAATTTGAATTCATCATATTCAAAACCATTCAATTGTAGTTGTACACGTGATTTTACCGGAGAATATTGTGAAATAAGTAAGATTTTAATGTATAATTCTTTTGATTAATTATTCATTGTTAATTGATTTAGAAATTTATTACATACTTACTTACGTCTGTCACCTCTCGTCGAGGATGAAAGATCATCAACAAGGATTGTACATTTAACTCTGTCCTGGACAATCCCTTGTTTACAATTACTACTCATCCGCTTCATGTCTGTTTCCAATTCTCGATGCAATGGGTTCTTTTGTTTTCTCTTTTTTTCCGTTTCCCTTCACTATTCCAAGTTAGCGGTTGCGTTGTGGTGCAGTATGATGGTTTCCGTAATGTATGCCCTATCGAATTTCATCGTCTTTTCCTAGTTCACTTTTCAGATGGAAGCTTATTTATTCCCTCTCACAGTGGGTTATCGCTGATGGTATCCTAACAACGAACATCGAGTATCTTGTGTATACAAATGTTCAGAAATACTTGTACTATTATGATGATGGTTGTAGTACTTCTTCAAGTTTCAGTTCCGTACAGTAGAACTGTCTTAACGTTCGTATTGAGGATTCACACTTTGGCATCGACTGACAGACAGTTGTTTTGAGTTCCATATGTTCTGTAGATGTAAGAATGCTGCACTTATCTTGCCAACCCTTCCCCTTACGTTTGCATAGGGTCATTTTTGTTCATTGATGATGCTGTCCAGGTACGTGAAAGTTTCCACCTGTTACAATGTTTCTCCTTCGAGTGTGATTGATTTTGTTGGTGATCTCCATGTTGTATTTGGGGATCTTGCTTTTTACCTTGTGTATGTTGAGGTCTACTGATTCAGAAGTTGCTGATACACTTTTTGTCTTGACCGGTATTTGTTGGTATGTATTGGATAGAAGGGCTAGGTGATCTGTGAAGTTCAAATCGTCTAGTTGCATTCAAGCCGTCGAAATTTGTAGTATAACTTTATCTGCCAAGTAAGGAGTTTATATACTCACTTTCGAGTTATTAGATTTTTCTCAAGGCTAACCGACTCCTCATGACGAAGTTGAATGTAGATAGTAGTGTTAGAATGTTAGGCTAACTTCTTAGAACTCGAAAGTTTAACAGAAGAGCTATTGTCCTCGACGGTGATAAGTAACAATAAATGTATTCACAAAGCTTTTCTGAGAACTTGATGTTGGAGTCTATGGAATTTTGATTTTTGATTTTCTTGAAATTCATTAATTACTTGTGTTTACTTGTATTTAAGCGTATGTCGGCACTGCAAACAACTACCATAAATCGAACATCTAATTTACGACCTGGATGATCTGGGTTTGAAACTTACAAGATCCATCTGTTTTACTTATAATTGTTGATTACCTTTAATCTAGCAATATCAATATAATAAACCCATATTGCCATTATTATGATTAGATCAAAGACTTTACTCACTTTATACTGTTGAAAAAGTCAAATAAGGGAAAATTTATCTTAAAATCTCTTGATGTATCAATGCTGGATAATAAATCAACATAAACATTGAAATAGACAGGATAAGATGGATTGTTGAATAAATCAAAAGACCGGATTACAAATAAGATGAGAAGTGAAACGTGAAATCCTCATTTGCAATTTCATGAATCATTTGACAAAAATCAGATCAACCATTAAATTCATTTGCATACACCGTTAATGAGTCATAAAGAAGACGATACATGAGGTCAAATACCTGTTAGGTTTCATTTATTATTTATTTAATGTTAGTTTATAGATAGTTCTCTTCAAATGATGAAGAATCGCCACATGATTGAAATAATTTAGCGAATGTCATTTACCTACTTATGAGTAGCTAATGTAGTAATTATAAAAAAGGTGTGTTGATTTGACATGGCTATCAGACAGACAGAGATCGTTGAAATTGCACTTAGTTAAAAGTAATTGATATATACTTTGTAGTCCTTCAGTATAGTATTTTGCAGGCCAGATAAATTTGTTAAATGAATGGTGAGACTATAATTTATGGACGACATTTGAGCAACACTGAAGTGACTTTGAGGGTGTTCACCTAATTACTAGGATCAAATGAGGGTTATAAACAAGTGTGAGGAATTAGAATTATGATATACAGTTGATGGTTAGAGTTAAATTTAGGGTTATAAACACAGACTGACATCAGCTATAATGCAAAAACTCTATTTAGTGAAATGGATGAATGAATTTCGCGCCGAAATCCGGAGCTGTTATCTTATACCTTATTGGTTCGTTCATAAATTATAGTCTCACTAAATGACCATTAAAAATTTGCGGTGGATAACCGCGAGTATTTTTCTTTATGGATGTACATTTTACAAACTTAAGTACATGCGACTGAGAGAAAATTCAATTAAAATGTATTTAGATTATAGATGGTGAGGAACAAATTCCATTGATCGACTTCATTACTGAATTAATAATCAGTATTCTATGAAAGGTATTTCAGTTGTCATCATCTTTGACGTAACTAACCTAAATAAAGGAAACCGATTGAAAACCGTATCATCCTTTTAGTTAACGAAAATATTAACAACCTGAATTTTGTCTTAAGTCAGTTAATCACCGTAAACACGAGCTGTAAATATCCTTTAACAGTCTTGATGATTCGTTTCACTATGAAACTGAACTAGTTGACATTGATGTTGAATGTGACATCAAACCGTGAACAGACTGTGACTGATAGATCCTGGGTTCAATCTGGCGAAGTGGGATCGTGGATGCATACTGCTGAGAAGTTATATACTAGAGTGAAACGGCCATTCAGTGCTTTCAGGCTTCCTATGGTGGTCTAGCTTTAATTGAATCATGAACTCAACTATTAAAATTTTAATTTTCCTGTTTATTTTCCGATAATTATATAGAATTGGCACCGTGTACAATTGATCCGTGTAAACGTGGTCGTTGTATATCAAAAGATAATATCACTTATGAATGTGAATGTCAACCAGGATGGCGTGGTGATCATTGTGAAGAGAGTAAGTTCAATGGTTAAAAGTTGCTTGACTTAATACATCAGACGTTTACGTCTAAAATCAAGGATATGGGGTTCTGATACCGGAGTGAACACCAACTTTGGGCTATGTAAGGTACATCCTGCTGACGAGTTGTAAATAAGACGACATGCGCGTCGTAAATTTCACTGTTAGCCACATAATGTCTATTCTGAATCAACTTGTCTGACTTATGTCGTAAACAATGCGTTTCAATAAGCTTAATTGACCTGTATGATCACTCAAATGTTTGTTATCTGACTATCCGATCAGATTCAATAAAAAATTCCATACACCACCTAATAGTTGAAACAAGCGGCAATGAGAAAGTAAGAAGACTAAGTGCGTAGGAAGCTTTAATGTCAGAAGCGAGTCGAAAATATACATAGATCATGTATACGTGAATGCGTAATAAATGATTCAGACAAGGATATATAGGCTATGAACAATACACTTACTCATAATACCATGTCTACAGTTGTGTTTCTCATCTGTCAATTGGTTTTAAGTCGAAATATGATTTACCTGGCTTTTCAGAAACATATGGCTTAAGCTAGATTGAATTCCGTACGACCTAGAATCTTGATAGGAGAGTAGAAGATTCTGAAAGTTCTAGGTTCGATTCCTGATAGTTTCATGGAGTAACCTTGTTAGAAAGTTTCATACTACGAAGGAATAACTATCCAGTACTTTCCAGTTTTAAATAGCTATCTTATGAAGTCAGTTTGTAAAAACCCAGTTAGTCAGCAACAACGTAGAACTTCGTACGTACGTACATCAGTTCGAGTTGCCATACCACATTACCACATAGATAAAATTGTCGATTCAAAACCCATAGTGGTAGAGGTAGTAAAAGTATAAGCAGTAATCGGGAAGATTAGGGTTTGGAGACGTTATTTAAAGAGTATAACCCAGTGAAATAAATTTGGAAGAGGAAAAAAAGAGACAAGGAGGATGCACAAGGTGGATGCACCTGCGTCATTGCAAACGATTTTGAGCCATGTCATTCAGGTCTCTAACCATCGGTTGCTATCATCTCGCGGTCCCCAACCAGGTAGTCTACACCTACCAACATGACTCAGTCCACTTGCCAGTGACTTCATGGATTTGTGCCATGTTTTGATCTGGCTGCCCCTAGCTTTCTTCCAACCTACTCCTACACCATAAAACATCACACGTCGAGGCAGTCGGTTGTTGGGCATACGTAACACGAGCCCCAGTCAACTCAACTGACGAAGTGGCAAAACTTCATCAGTTGATTTGCCATCCTTACCTAGTACCCATTTCCTCACAATTGCATTACTTACTCACTGGTTAAGTTTGTGATAACTACGGAATATATAATTATTCGGTTTAACGGTACAACTTTTCTCCCATATTAAATTATTCAGTAAGACATAAATCTCAGTTTCTATTTATATTTGTAATAAAACATACTTTTTCTCTATTGCATATTCTGATTTCGATAAGATATTGATTATTGCTTAATCAATACATGTTTAAATGGTGGAACATGTCAAGATTTAGATGGTCCTGGCTTCCAATGTTTATGTCCACCTGGTTTCAAAGGATCTAATTGTCAATTAAGATCACCATGTAGTAATTCACAATGTGTTCATGCAGTTAATTGTAAACAATTAATACAACCAGTGAATGGGATTGATTATGAATGTATGTGTCAACCTGGTTGGACAGGACAATTTTGTGATCAAAGTAAGTTGACATTTTAAAAATTTAGAAATTCGGTCAGTTATTTTCATATTTATGATACATTAGAATCTCACAATTGATTGATCACTGGGTGGTGATTAATGTCATGTGTGTCAAGTCCTTATTTAGTGCAAATCGAATGCTATCGATCATGTTGCAATGTGGTCACCAGTCTAGGTGACTCGACACTGCGTGCACTATATATTGAGATTAGATGGTGGTTGGAGGTAGTCGACAGGAAACCCTGGACCCAGGTTTCGTGCTACTTGGCACTCGTCAGCAAGGTGTACCCTGGCGACCGGTCGAGACCCGGATAGCTCAGCGTCAACGTCTCTGACTGTGAAACTGGGTGACACGGGATCGAATACGCCAGGGAGCATAGAACACATGAGATACTGACTTATTGAGATACTGAATCAAAAACTATCATTATATAGATTTTTAACCTGTAAACAGATAAATAAGTGGAATTCAACCGGGTCTGTTGTGAGATTATAACTCACTGAAGACAGTGGTGGGTGTGAGTCGCTAAATTTCGTGGATTGGTTGAAGTTAGACATTAACACCGTTGGATGCCCCCAAATGCCTTGGTACAGCTGAAAGTGCGGAGAGTCAGCTCTTCCTCTCCAAATACTCTTACATGGCCACGGGTATATAGCCTCTGCCAGAAAAGTCCTACTCACTGCCTTCTCGTGGCGAGGGAAAACGAAAAGCGAATGTCCGATGCTTTAACCGCGTTGGTGATGGTTGATATGGAGGGTCCACCTAGGGGAGTAGGAAAACCCACATTCCAAACCAATGGTGCACACGAACACCAGTACCCTGAGGGAACAAATGGCTTATGAACTAATCGTTGGTCACCGGCTACCATGGGACCACATCTCCTTACGTTGCTCCACTGCCTTGTGGGTAAGATTTGTGTGGCGCATATGTATTTGGTGCCCCTTTATATCAGTATTTATGTGTTCAAATAAATAACACCGCTGGATGCTGGACCATTGGTCTAATGGTTAAGCGCTCTCACGCGAGGATTATAGATACTAGGTTCGAATCTTGCGAGGCACGATCGTGGATGCGCACTACTGAGGAGTCCCACAATAGGATGATACTACGGTCCAGTGCTTTCAGGTTTTCCATGATGGTCTAGCTTCAATTGACTCGATTGAAGATAAATAAGTGATAGAATGCTTAAAAATGCTATTTCATGACTATTTTAGATAATAAAATCAAACATTGTTGATAAACGTACAACGGATCAGTTTAGAAAAGAACACGTACATAAGGATCTTAACATTTATCTTTATCATCATTACTTGCTTTCTTTCCTCTTATTACGACTGGGTTGTTTTTTTCCCTCACAGTTTGAACAGATACTTCAACTTCATTAATTAAACTAGGTATTAAATGAATATTTCAAATGATTGTTATCTTTTTCTCTCATTTAGTCTGTTTACAATCAGCTGATCTCAATCATTGTACTCATCATTTAATGACTTGTCTATTGTCATTGTATGGAGATTATTATAATTTGATATAATTGATAATGATCACTAGTTTGCATTTGAGAGGACATTCGAAGAAAGTTAAAAGACCGAGATCAAATCATCTACGTCTGAAGTTTTGTTTCTCGTACCGAATAGTGAATTACCAGAACACATAATATTAACACCTTCTGTTGATATATTCAAAGAGAGATTGAACCTCTACAGTGTTACAAACTGTAAGGATTCTTTTTTTGATTGAGATCATGAACCGATTGATGTTAGACCACCGTTGGAAACCTGGAAACACTGGACGGCTGTTTCGTCCTATTGTGGGACTCCTCAGCAGTGCACATTCACAATCCCGCCTCACAAGATTCATACCCAGGGCCTTCACTCTCGCGCGCGAACGATTAACCTACTGGACAACTGAGCCGGCATCTAGTGGTGTTAGTGTCTAATATCAACCAATTCACGAAATTGTGCGACTATTTTCCATTGTACTGAGGTAGATACCTGTTTCTACCCGACACGGATTAGCTCCACTGGTCACGGCTTCTCACCAGAACTCAGACAATCTCCTCACAAAGCTAGGCACTATTGAGCATATGTTAATAATCAGTATAGGAGTTGTGGAGAATAATAAGTTTCGATTGAGATCATGAACCGATTGATGTTAGACCACTGTTGGAAACCTGGAAGAACTGGATGTTCGTTTCGTCTTATTAATATTAGATCGATAAACCTCCTATCCTTATTACTAAAGACTGAAGACTATTTTGTATTGTTTCTTAATAAGCTAAATATTTTGATATTAACATAACATCTAGTAGCACAAAATAATTAAACTGTAATATTTAAACAGATGAGATTGAATGATACAGTTTGAATAACAGAAATATAACATCTAAGGTTGTTCATTTTTTTCGCGAGTTAGCTTTCTATGGGACGGGGTCGCTAACCCCAAACTAAACCCTTCTCCTTTACCCGGGATTGGGACTGGCAGTAACTCTAGAAGAGTTACAGGCTTCTAGAAGCTACTAGCTTCCAGCTGAGAAGGAAATTAGGAAAAGACGATGGAAATGGATAGGATATACATTACTCAAATCATCAACGTGCATCACGAGGCCATCTGTAACTTGGAATCCTGAAGGGAAGTGGGAAAGAGGATGGCCGAAGAACACATTACGTCGGGAATAGAAGAGATATGGAAAGGATGAATAACGACTTGAAGGGATTGCCCAGGACAGGTTTGGATAGAGAGTGCTAGTGAGCGGCCTATGCTTCTCTACGAGGAATAACAGGCGTAAGTAAATAAGTAAGTAAACAAGGTTGTTGATATCTTTCGCTGATTAGTTCTTTGAAGTGAATTCGACTAAACGTATCCATAGTCATTAATCGTTTATCTTCCATTATTCAATGATAAGCAAAGATGCATAATGATATTCATTCATTTACTTCTTTACGAATTGCGTGACTTACTTCAATCTTTTATTGATTTCTCATTTGTTTATAGTAATAGATTACATAATTACTTACTAATGATTGTTCTTTTTTCCTTTCTAAATAATTAAGATATCGATGATTGTGTGGACAAATGTCAAAATGGAGGAACATGTCACGTAAGTAACTTATTTTACTTACTAAATAATAATAATAATAATGGTAATGGTATTATTATTATTATTATTATTATCACTAATAATACCATTAACAGCAGTAGTAGTAGCGTGAGTAGTAGTAGTGGGTAGTAGTAGTAATGTTGTTGTTAGTAGTAGTATTGGTGGTAGTAGTGTAGTGCATGCTATTTACATTGATATAAGTAGTAGATGACGCGAGTTAAAAACGTAATGTCTGGCAGTAGAAGATGGGGAGAAGATCAAGAAAGGAAGAGCGGGAACACAATGCAATTTGTAAGAAAACGCATGAACAATGAAATGTGAGACAATGGTTTGGTGTTTGTAGCGGGAACAGTCCAGGTTGATATGATGGATTTTGAAAATTAACGGTTTAATATATGGCTTTTCTATTTTACCGAGTAACTTTGTAATTTTGTGCGAAATACATTCGATTGTCCCCACCCGTGTTCTTGTTCACTACAGTATTAGTGGCATTGTTAGTAGTGTTAGTAGCATCAGTAGTAGTAGTTTTTATTTTAACACATAGATATTGGTACAAAGAGGCACCAAATATATATGCGCCACACAAAACTCATTTGATATGTGTGATGGCTGTGATACTGCCCGGGTGTCCAAATCGAAGCAGGTAGTTTTCTTAGAGGACCACACCCGGAGTCTTCGACCTGAAGGTCTAACCCACAAGGCAATGAAGCATTTTGAGGAGATGCAGTCTCATAGTAGCCGATGACCAACGATTGGTTCATACGCCATTTGTTCCTTCAGGATACTGGAACTCGTGTGCACCATTGGTTTGGATTCAGTGTTTTGATAGTGGTGCTAGTAGTACTACTAGTGGTAGTTGTCAGTTAGTTAGTTACATATAATCAATATTTTTGACAATGATGCTGCGTTTAACATTCACTTCTCTTGCTATTTCAATCATAAACTGTGGCTTGATGAATATTACATAATCAATCTCAAAGAATTGGTATTTATTTAGGCATCTTTCTGTTTGTTAGTAGAGGTTGCAGATTTTCTACATTTCCATATTGATTATATTTTGAATAATTTGTAATACTAGAATATGGATGTTCCATCTATTCACTTCAGTTTGAGACTCGGCAGCCTGATTTCCCTATATTTCAATATACATTGATATTTAAATTAAGAATAAACTTAGTTTTTACCGGTTCAAATGTTAGTTAAGCTCTCTTTCCTCCAGAGACTTGTAGGTTCAGAGTTTGATCTCTGGCGAAATTGTAAGTGAGCACTTCTATGGAGTATCGTACTAAGACAATACAAGATATCCAGTGATCTTTTATTCCGAATGATATTCAAAAGGAAAACAATCTTTGATGAATACCATCCGGAAATATTCAATGTAATAATTTTCTATTCATTTCCTACTCTCATATATATATTAGAGTGAAATAATTTTATTTGTTTGTTTATATTTCTTTCAGGATCTTCTAGATGATTTCTATTGTACTTGCCCAATTGGATTTGAAGGTAGACATTGTGAAATTAATCGTGAATGTTCTAGTAAACCATGTCAAAATAAAGGAATCTGTCATGAAATTCCTGGCGGTTATTTATGTGAATGTCCAAATGGATTTATAGGACAAAATTGTGAAGTGAGTAAGAAAAAAGTTTTTCACTGATAACATGATGAATCTGTTGTAAAAATAGCCCCCAAATGCTCTGGTACAGCTGAGAGTGGGTAGAGTCAGCTCTCCCTCTCTGAACGCTCTCACATGGACACTTGTATACAACGAATCCCAAGGAAGTCCTACTCACTGTCTTCTCGCGGCATTACTGTTATTCACGAAATTCAGAGGACGAAAATCAAACGTCTGGAGCTTTAACCGGGTTCGTGAATATGGAGAGCCCTGATTCAAAACCATTGACGTACATGGGCTCACGGATCCTAAGAAAATAAATGGCATATGAACTTGTTTTTGAACACCAGCTACCACGAGATTGTATCACCTGACGTTGCTCCACTGCCTTGTAGATCAGACCTTTAGGCTGAAGGCTCTGGGTGTGGCCGCCTAAAAAAACCACCTGCTTCGATTCGGGTACCCGGGCAGTATCCTAGCCCTCACACAAATCGGATGATTTATGTGGCGCATATCTATTTGGCGCCTCCTTGTACCAATGTTTATCTGTTTAAATAAATAATATAAATCATCAATTCATTAGAAATGACTTCAAGTTCATCATTATTACTACAGTTATGAGAATGTTGTAAGACACAATTCATTCATTGATTTTAAAGTTTTATTCACTAGCACTGATGATGAAACACTGTGTGGAGATTCTGAAAAGATTATCAAATATTTCATTCAAGCGAAATACATTGGTGTAATTAAGTGTCGGCAGAAATTCATCAGTCATGTATGTTGAAAGTTTCCATAAGTATCGCTTAATACAATTGAAGACTTTATGTCATGTTCAGTTGCATTATTAACGGTTCATATTTACGAGTAGATCAGTAGACACCAAGACTAAAAGATGAATTATTTAGAACGACCACCTAATTTTGTATTTGTCATTTCGACTACATTCATACAGCAAGTTATATTGGTTCTCTGAGCAGCTCAGAGAACAAAACTCCATCAAAATCATCCATTTGAGATAAAAATCTTCTCCACCATCTCAATTTACATTTTCGTGCCCATGAATACCTTCCAGAGTGTTAAGCAAAGATCTAGTGAAAAAAGTGGACAGCTCGATGTCAGCCCATTTCATGCAAACTAGTCACAGTTCCAGTATACTCCAATCTTTCTCAATTATTTATCGGGTTCGAGATATTTTCTCAAGGTCTGTTAGATCCAAAGTCCTTCAAAGGTAAAAGCTGTAACCATTCGGACTAAAAAACTGGAGCCAAGTGTATGCAATCAAGATCTTCAAACACTTATCTTACATTGGTCAACCTCACGGCCAATGAATCAATAGTAATCATAATTATAGGAAAACCTTACAACCCTTCTTAGTCAAATATAATCTTTGTTATCTTTATAAGTAAAGATGGATAGTGACTAGCAGTGGAATCCAGGACGCGCGTTCCGTCCTGTTTTGGACTGGTCAGCTGGATGTACCTGCATCTCAGAATTGATGTTCACTCTTGGAATCGAACCCAGTACCATCCGCTTCAAACGCCATCGCGTTATCCACTTGGCTACTGAGTCCTGATAGCCACTTACTTGTGCAATGGGGTGAAGTTTAATTCACTTGGTATTGTTTTACTTGAATCTTCCCATTGATGTTTTAGGACTGAAATTGATCAGTCTTTTATTGGCATATGTGCATACTGTGAGTATGCCTCGATATTGCTTTAATTTGGCATAAGAGACTGATCAGTTTCAGTTCTAAAACATCAATGGGAAGATTCAAGTAAAACAATACCAAGTGAATTTGTTATCTTTGTTATTCACATACCTTTGGATTATTATTACCAATAATGTCCCGAGTACATGACTAATCTCCTTGACACTCACACCACTTTATAAATTCCCTTTGAATTCATATAACTTTAGTCTTTCACTAATCATTTGATCGAATTTATAATTGGACTATTATTTCTTTCATCTTATCTGAACCATATTTATTCTGATCATGAATCTCATAAGTTCATTTAGCATATAAGTTATTTCAACATTAACAATTTTATTTTAATAGTTGAATTCATGTGTTGATCTAAGCTAGACCATCACTGAAAACCAGAAAGCACCGGATGGTCGTTTCTTCCTAGTATGGGACTCCTCAACAAAGTGCATTCATGATCCTGCACAATAGGGGACTCGAGCTTAAGATCTTCGATCTCACGTGTGAACACTTAGTCTCTAGACCAGTGAGTCAGCAGCCAATGGTGTTAATGTCTAAATTCAAGGAATCCCGCGACGGGATGATGAATGCGTATTGCTGAGGAGGGTTCATAATCTCAATCAAATCTCCAAGTTAATTATTTTATTTCTCAAAGAACAATGTAAGTAGTCTTTCAAGATAAAGTAAATTTCATCTGTTATTTTTTTTCTTCTTTTTTTCTTTCTATTCTATAAAAGATTTCAATAAATGGATGTAATCCAAATCTTTGTCAAAATGGTGCTTATTGTTATACATTATCTAGTGGTTTCTATTGTAAATGTTCAGAAAATTTTATGGACAATTTTGTGAATATCAAAGACCATATTGTGGACCAGATGGTTGTGATACATTAATGGATCCATGTTTAACCATGTTAATTATGCATAATAATGATACATTCCCATATCCTTCTTCTTCTTCTTCTTCCTCGTTGACGTTAACATCTTCAGTATTAACTCTTCAACAATCAACAATGATTTTGAGAAATTCAACTCAATCAAATTATGATAATTTATTAATTAGTCATCATGAGATCACATATCCTTATGGTGTATGTGGTCAACATGGTACATGTGTTAGTACAGATAATGGAGATTATAAATGTATCTGTGGAACTGGTTATCAAGGAAAATATTGTCATCAGCCAATTAATTATTGTGAAACTATGCCATGTATGAATGATGGTACATGTATAAGTGGTTTAGAAGGTTATGAATGTATATGTGAAGAGGGATTTAGTGGTGTGCAATGTGAACATCGTAAGTGATTTTTTTTTTTTACAAATTTCTCACATTAATTATAAGATAATTATGAAATTATTAACATGATAGATATTCTCAATGAGTTGAGTGGTGAAAGTATTCGATTACGAGTCCATAGATCTTATGTTTAATAAGATTAAGACTAATTTGGTTTGTAAGAGACTGATAGGTCCTGAGTTCGAATCTCGCAAGGTGGGATCATGGATGCTCACTGCTGAGGAGTTCAATACGAGGACGAAACGACCATCCAGTGGTTCTAGGTTTTCCGTAGTAGTCTAGCTGCAATCGACTCATGATCTCAACTATTAAAATTACTATAATATCCACAAAACCTCTTGTAATATTAATTTGGTTTGGACAGCTTGACGGTGTCATTAGCTCCTACCAAAAATGCAGTGAACCTTCAACTTTAAGTTAACGTAAGGAGTGGATTAGTTCTAGATCATTCTGATAAAATACTACAATCATCCAATACTAATAATACTTCCTGCCTTCAAACTGCTGTCAATCCATGACAAATATCGCTTATGAAATAAACCAATCTATACGAAACTTCTTTAATCAAATGATTTTCTTATTTTGTCTTTATAGCTATTGATTTATGTCAACCAAATCCATGTCAAAATGGTGGCTATTGTCAGCATACATTACATCCAGGAGATTTTCAATGTCGTTGTGCACCAGGTTGGTCTGGTCGTTGGTGTGAATTTCAAACAGATAATCCATGTAATATGGCTAAAATTTGTTTTAATAATGGTAAATGTCATCAAGATCATTTAAGTCCTGGACTATTTAAATGTGAATGTGATAATCAATGGATTGGATCTGTTTGCCAGTTACGTAAGTTTAGTTAAAAATATTTCTATGTTAATATAAAACTTAGTTGATCTAGAAATGAGATCATTAACAAATTACAGTCTAATAAGTCTGATAAACCAATTTAGTGACCTTATGTCTGACTCCATAATGATAGTCTATGGATCAAAGCGAATGATCGTTTTTGAAATATACATATCGCCAATGGTCATAACTTGTCGGCGTCCGACAATCGTGGTCTTTCTTGACTTAAAAGCAGCATTTCACTCTGTAGATCGAGAGATTCTGTGGCAGTGTCTGTCATTGAAAGGCGTACCTCAGAAGTACATAAACCTTGTGAAGGCTCTTTACTCGAACACTACCAGTTGAGTCAGAGCGTATGACGAACTTTCATCTGCTTTTGCAACCTCAAGTAGTGTCCGTCAAGGCTGCCCACTTTCTCCATTTCTGTTTAACTTCATAAGACTTATTGATGGAAATAATATTCTCGTCTACTGAATTCTCGGGTATTGATCTCCTACCACGAGGTCCACTTATCGACTTAGAATACGCAGATGACATAGTCCTGTTTGGTGAAGACGCTGATAAAATGCAGAGTCTTTTGGTAGCACGAAAAACAATGCCAGAATGTTTGGAATGCGCTTCTCTCCCTCTAAATGCAAGTTGTTGCTTCAGGACTGGTCTGCGTCAACACCGGAACTAAGGATAGGGAGTGAAGTAGTCGAATGCATTGACAACTTCACTTATCTTGGAAGTCTGATCAGCCCTAATGGGTTGGTGTCTGACGAAATCTCAGCACAGATTCGAAAAGCTCGCTTGGCTTTCGCCAACTTACGTCACCTTTGGCGGAGGCGAGATATCCGTCTATCAATAAAAGGACGAGTATACTGCGCGGCAGTCCGTTCTGTTTTACTTTACGGCAGCGAAACCTGGCCATAAGGGTAGAAGACACCCTTAAGCTATTAGTATTTGACCACAGATGCCTTAGAAATTGCTGGCGTCTGCTGGATCATCAGGTATGTAACAGTGAGGTTAGACGCAGAGTATTAGGAAGATGATAAATCAGTTGATGAGGTTATGAATCTTCATCGACTGAGATGGTTGGGCCACGTGTTACGTATGACTGAACAACGATCACCACGACGTGCAATGCTGTCCGGTATTGGAGATGGTTGGAAGAAAGTTAGGGGCGGCCAAACCAAAACGTGGCATCGGTGCTTGAAGTCGCTAACTTTTAGTCTGAGCCATGTTGGTAGATGCAGACTACTTGGTTGGGGTCCGTGTGACTATCGTAACCAATGGTTGGAGACTCTTGGTGACGTGGCTCAGAATCGATCACAATGGCGTCGGTGCATACACCCCCTGTCTTCCCTTAAGCTAAGAGATTAAAATCGCTTCATATCTTTCTTTCTACGTACTAATTCTTTCTTCCTGTACTATACCTTATACACAATCTTTCTTTATATATTACCACCTCTGAATTAACTACTTTTATGAATCCGGTGTTCATCTTGTTGTGTTAATGAGGTATGGCAACTTGAACCGATGCATATATTTGCCTGGTCCTACGTTGTAGCTGACTGACTGACTGACGATAAAAAATATACTCATAGTATTGGTACATAACTGGATCCCAAAGTTACCATTCATTTTGCTTATCGGGGCATAACAATCAATCCTCGTATATAATCATGACCTTAAATCGCGTTAGTGAATAACGGAATCACATAAATCAAATATGAGAATGGATTTTAGAATACATATATTTCGTACAATTATTGATTGAGAAAAGCGATCGAAGAAACGAAACGAAGCAAAGAGAAGAGAGCGGAGCGAGATGACGCGCAGTGAAGATAGAGTGTGATCCAACTCGTCTTAATCAAGCGTTAATCGATATTTATAGGCTGAACTAGAATAAGCTACAGAAATGTGATGAGTAAGATGAGAAATGCACACACGTTTACATAAAAACAGTCATGGTTGATAAGCGAATAATTAACAGGGTCAACATGTAGGTCGAGAAGAATGAATAAATTGGTTTGTCCGGAAGTTCAAATAAGCTGTGTGGGCTTAATATGGCAACCAACACGACACCAATACCAATGCTTAGAAGAAATCGACATTGCACTGTAAAAAGTTTAAGGGAATTGTGAAATGAATTCATCTATTTGCTTTGTTATATTCTGTTCAGTTTTGATTTACACCAAACTTACTATCAAGATGAGAAAACTGAAATGAGACTGAAGATTTTTTTTGACAAGCTAAGACTATATTAGACACAAATCACTAATACACATATAACGATTTTCATTCCAACTCATGCAGAGATATATGGGCTTAAATATTTAGTGAATCTAGTCTATCATCCTTTTAGCTTATTCAAAAGTTACTTATTTAGTTTCGCCTGTTACTCCCAATAGAGGATAGGTCGCCGACCAACATTCTTCAAGCTACTCGATCCTGGATCTTCCTTTTTAATTTTATCCAACTGTTGGGCATTCTTCTCATGGTTGGCTGTCTCCATTTCCCGAAGTAACGTGTCATTTGGTCTTCCTCTTCTCCTCCTTTAACCTTGAGGATTCCAAGTCAGGGCTTGTCTTGTCACGTAGTTGGATGCTTTCCTCAATTTGTGTCCTATCCACTTCCAGTGCTTCTTCCTGATTTCTTCCTCTACTGGAATCTGGTTTGTTCTTTCCCACAGTAGGTTGTTGCTAATGGTGACTGGCCAACGGATCTTGTTAATAAACACTTGTATTATCTGGATGATGGCTTTCGTAGTTCTCCAAGTTTCTGCCCAATACAGTAAACTGTCTTGACATTTGTATTGAAAATTCTGACTTTGGTGTTGATTGACCGTTGTTTTTGAGTTCTAGATTTGCTTCAATTGTAAATAGACTGATCCTGTTTTGGCGATCCGCCGATCGAAAGTTACTCTCCCAAAATTATTGGATTATGAGCATGGCAACTAAATTTGTTGTTTTACAATTAATGATGTGTATTAAATTTTTTTTAAAAAAAGAATAAGAACAAAGATTTAAGTCGAATATGAATTCATTGTAGTTTCATTAGATTCATCTGAACTTCTTACATGTTTGAAATGATCAAAAAAAGGGGGTTGTAAATCATTACTGTTGGGATATTCAGAAAAATATCCCAAAAATTATTCTATTAAGTCGAATGCTATTCTTGGACTTCGAGATGGTATCATTTACTCATTGGTCAATATTTATTTCACGTGTCGTCTTCCTACTGGTCAATATTGTACAAATGTTATTTTCTATTTTATGGTACGATGTGGTCTGCTTGATTGGTATATAAACAGAGTATGTTTGAAATATAACGATTCATATCTCAGAGGCTGAGACTTGCGTTCTGGACTCAACTAGCTGAGCTAGATAGGGAAGCAGGGCCAATCGGGACTCTGGTCGTTCTTACGTGTTTACGCGTCATTGTTCCGATCGATAATTCGCTGCTGTCTAATCTGCAGTCCACAAGACACAATAATTACCGTAATGATTCTTATCTAAGGGTTATTATGAATATTTAATAAGATAATGAATCTAGGATCATCATAACCAAGTTAAATGTTTGGATTTATTGTTGTCAATAAATAAATATGAAGTTCTGAAGAACATTCTGGAACGGTGGAGACAATTTGTACCTTAGGTGTATGATTTTGATAGTTTTGTTTTCTGAGCTGGATGGTTCGGTCATAGAGTGAAATGTTCACTTCTATCTGAAGTTTATACTGATGACATGGTCAAGAAGAACAATGAAGGACCACAATCCACACACTTCAGTGAATTTCAAAAGACTAGAACTTGTATACGAATTATTCTTTTTTTTAAAAAAAAAGATTTTCATGATCTTTACCTGATATTATCCAAGACATGTCTAGAAATTGCATGACTTAACATCTTTATTCATTTACAGAAAAAGCCTTTTTTAAGAATATATTCCAAAGTAAATAAATTGAGTCCCATACTAGAACGAAACAGCCGTCCAGTGCTTCCAGGTTTTCCATGATTTCAACCATTAAATAAATTGAATTCATGTAAATCTCCTTAAAACATTATTTATCTAACCCTACTCAATTAAATAACTTTGAAATTATGGGCCACTGCATTACAGCTCAATCATCTACAGGTTGAATTCATTTGTGGGATAATGGGTACGAAAGAAATGGATAATAATTTGGATAACAGTTTGGATCTTCTAGCTTAATCGTGATTTCAGTAGTTGAGATGATGAGCCAACTGAAACTAGATCATCATCGAAAACCTGGAAGCACTGAACAACCGTTTCGTCCTATTGTGGAACTCCTCAGCAGTGCGCAGCCACGATCCCACCTTGCGAGATTCCATCCCAGGACCTATCAGTCTCACGCGCGAACGCTTAACTTCTAGACCACTGGGCCGGCCGGCATCGAACGGTCTAACTTCAAATAATCCGCGAAAAAATGCTATACATCCACCACTGTCTTCAGTGAATTTTTATCTCACAACAGACCCAGTTGAACTTCAATGGTCACTGCTTCATACTAGAACTTCAGTAAATATCTCTTGAAGCCAGTCACTATAGAGCATATGTTGATTAATATCAGAAAGGGTTTTTGTGGATATTATAGTGACTTCATTAGTTGAGATCATGACTGACTAAACCTGTTATTGTAAAGAAATGGTTTGAAATAAGTCGAGACTGATTGGCATAATAAAAAGTTTTATTACATAATCCAGTTTTTAAACATTCAATTCTTTTATTCATTCATTTCCAAATTTAGGTCGACCAGAAACAAGATCATGTGTACAAAAAAATCTATGCAAAAATGGTGCTACATGTGTTGATTTAGGTAACAGTTTCAATTGTATCTGTCGTCCTGGTTTCGATGGTCAATATTGTGAAAATGAAATTAACGAATGTAATTCAATGCCATGGTGGGTTCACTTAATATACGCAACTTTGTTCAATTTAGGTCGAATAAAAAATATTGTCTTACTGTACATACTTACACCTGTTATCTCCCTTGGAGGAGCATAGGTCATCCACCAGGATTTTTCATACAACTCTGACCTGAACAATCCTTTCCAGTTGTTCAACTAGTTGGAATTTGAAACATGAACAACTTAGATTTCAACCCAATAGTGTAGATGACACGCACTCATCTAGAGGTTAAAAGTTTCTAAATTTAATCCCTGACGGAGTCGTGAACAACTGAGACAAAACACTAAGCCACTATTTACTAGTCTTCAATGATTCTCTAACTGTGGACAGGTCGTGATGAAAAGTATCTTTAGAAATAATTTCGTAATTAATATCAGAAGGGGTTTTGTGGATATTATAGTAATTTAATTGTTGAGATCATAAGTCCATTGAAGCTAGACCATCATGGAAAACCTGGTAGCACTGAAGAGCCTTTTGATCCTATTGTGGGACTCATCAGCAGTGCGCAACCATGATCTCGCCTCACGAGATTCGAACCAAGGAATTATCAGTCTCGCGCGCGAGCGCTTAACTTGTAGAACACTGAGGCGGCATCTAACGGTCTGTAATTCACTAAAGACAATGGTGGACCGTGGCACAACTTCGTGGATTGGTTGAATTAAGACACTAACACCGTCGGATGCCGGCCGGCTCACTGGTCTAGAGGTTAGGCGTTCGCGTGTGAGACCTGTAGGTCCTCTGCTTGAATCTCGCGATGCGGGATCGTAGGTTCATACTGCCGAGGACTCCCACAGTAGGATGAAACGGTCAACCAGCTCTCTCAGTTTTTTTTATGGTGGCTTAGCTTCAATTGATTCATGATGTCAACTATTAGGTTTCGTAATTATTATTAATTTTCTGTCTATTTACTCACTTATTTTATCTTCTAGTTATAATAATGGAACATGTAAAGATCTTATTAATTCTTTCGAATGTGATTGCCCTAAAGGTTTCATTGGAACAGACTGTAGAATAAGTAAGTTTGACATATTGAGGATATTAATGATTACAATATGATTTTCCATTGAAATAACTATCTCTATTCATGTGATAATCTTTTCGAATTTTTCATGCTGTTCTCTACTTATTATTCAATGAATAAGATCTATTTCTATGTTTATGGATTTTTTCCTAATCCTGAATGTTCTAGTTGATGTCTTTTTAACAAGGTCCCTTTATTTTTTTTTACCTGGTCAAGTTGTCAACTACATGTCCAACACTCCTACTTTATCAGTATAGGGGTTGTGGAGATTATTAAGTTTTTGATTGAGATCATAAACCGATTGATGTCAAACCACCGTTGAACACCTGAAAGCACTGGACGGTCTTCTCGTCCTATTGTGGGATCCAGCAGTATGTATCCACGATCCCACTCGCGGGATCAGAACCCAGAACCTTTAGCCTCGCGCTCGAACGCCTAACCTCCTGGACCATTGAGCCGGAATCCAACTCCTACTTTATCCAAAATTGTAATTGGTAGTGACGTTAGAAAGGCCTAAAGTAGATACTATTATCTTTGACTGTGATATTTATTATGTTAATTCCATTTCTATATATGAATGTGGGCCGAAGTAAATGTGTACCAGGTCCCATTATAATTATAAACAACTTGGGTGAGACTATAATTTATGGACGACCTTTGAGCGACGCTTAAGTGACCTTGAGAGCGTCCACCTAACAATCAGAACCAAATGAGGGTTATAAACTAGCGTGACGAATTAGAGTGATGATTTACAATTGAGGGTAAGGGTTAGGAATTACATTTATGGTTTTTTTTATCAAGAATTGACATCAGCTATAATGCCAAAACTCTATTTAGACTAATGAAAGAGTGAATTTCGCGCCAAAATCTCAGATCTGTTATCTTAAATCTGATTGGCTCAACCATAAATTATAGTCTCGCCAACTACTCGTTGACACATGATTACAGACATTACACTTGACAAACTGGTAAAATTCTCTAAACTGACTGAAGTAGTAGACAGTCAAGTGATTTTGTAGTTTTTAAGGCAATTAATTAAATATGAAATATGTTTGTCAATCCTAACTAAGAAGTCCATTCAATGCATCATCTTCTTCAACAAATGAGCATCAATTAAATTGATAGTCTGTCAAATGAAGTTGACGAATTCTAGTTCACAAATTCATATTTCTTTTTCAATGTTACATTTGGTTTATTGTAAATGGTCAGGTTGTAAAAAGTATCTTCTCTGTTGAACTATTCGAGCGTTTTCCTCCTTCATCGAAGTTGAACTTTTATGGTTTCAAGTCAAATCATCATTATTAATCCTTAGTGAATAGAAGTAAAGTTGATTGAATGGAAATTTAACTTAACTAGAGTTTGATCAATAGTTAATGCTTTACTATTACGAATGTTATCCCCTTGTCGATTATCACGTGACAAGATCTCCAATCAGAATACCAACGTATATGACATTGGCACTATGCCATACTATTGACATATCAACCTGAACTAGCAGCCTTGAGTCAACTCTGAATCCTTATTAGTCTTTCATGTCTAGCCTAGCCCGTTTGAATCCAGTAAACAATCTCAGCCTCCACTGTATAAATCATATAGTTCAGATATACGTTGTTTATATACAAGCAAACCAGACAGCATCACATCGTAAAATAAAAAAAGGTAATAATTATACAAGATCAAGCTAAAATTGGCTATGAGTACAGGAGATTGTAACTAAATAGATTGGGAATAAATTAAGAATAGTAACTCGTATAACAGTAACCAATAGGTCAAATGAAAGCTTATGATATAAGGAATGAGGATATATTTTAATGGAGTAGTTCGGTCGTAGAGCTTTCATCGTTCTTCTGAACGACATCATCAGCGCAAACTTCAAGTGGAAGTGAAGTGAATGAGCATATATCCATAAACTAGTTACTTGATAATTATCTAATAAGAATGTTTTTAATAATAGTTCATAAATAATTCCTAATAGTTACCCTTGATTTATTCTTCGTTCGGATATAACATCGACAATACTTATTCATTCATTCAATATCAGTTGATGATAGTAAAAAATGTCTCGACCAAATTAATGAATGTTGGTTGTATTTGCCATAGATTGATCACAGTTGGTGTATTATTATTATATACCATGAATCATTGGACATTTGCTTAGTTCTAGCATGACATTTCGAGTAGTTGGCACCCATGGTATTGCAATTGCAGGGACATGTTGCTGATAAACACACAAACTAACATGTAATCTAGATTCAGGTTCTCCGGCCAACTACCTACAATCTCTTAATATCAATAAAATGGTTACTTTTTTTTCTTTTTTTCTCTTCCCAACTTTATTTCACTGGATTATACTCTTTAAATAACATCTCCAAACCCTAATCTTTCCGATTACTGTTTATACTTTTACTGCCTCTACCACTACGGGATTCGAATCGAGAACTGCATCTCCGTGCTAACGTGGTGTGGCAACTCAAACTGATGTACGTACGTACGAAGTTCTACGTTGTTACTGACTGACTGGTTCATTTGATATCTAATCATGGATTGGTTGATGTTAGAAACTATCACCATTGGATGCCTGCTCAGTAGTCCAGTTGGTCGAGCGTTCGTGCGTGAGACCGAAGGCCCTGGGTTCGAATCCCGCTCGCGGGATCGTGGATACGCACTGCTAGTGAGTCCCACAGTAGGACGAAACGGCCGTCCAGTGCCTCCAGGTTTTGAATTGTGATGGTCTAATATCAATCGGTTCATGATCTCAATCAAAAACTTGATATCTAATCATTTGGACTAATTGTTACACTTTAATTTGATCTATAAAATCCTCCTATCCATTTCACAAATGTTAATATATATAATAAACCCTATAATATTGCTTGAAAGTTAGTCATATGGTCGTTTATTTTTAACTCTCTTTTCACATTTATTTATAGACGTTAATGAATGTGCTTCATATCCATGTTCATTTGGATCAACTTGTATTGATCGTGTTGGAACATATGAATGTATTTGTCCAGAACAACGATATGGTCGACATTGTGAAGAAGTGATCATTGAAACAGAACCAAAACCTCCAGCATGTAATTTTTATGGTCGAATTTATGATCATAATGATAATTGGACTTATAGCTGTCAACAATGTCATTGTAATAAAGGACAAATTATATGTACTGATGTAAGTATATACTACTAATTTTACTTTTACCTACGTTTGTTACTCCTCGTGAAGGAGCATAGGCCGCTCATCAGCATTCTCCATCCAACTCTGTCCTCAACAACCCTTTCCAGCTCTTTCCAGCTGTTATTCATCCGTTTCATATCTGCTTATATTTCTTGACGTAATGTGTTATTTGACCTTCCTCTACTACAACTACTAAATAATAATTTTGTATTCACAAGTTGATATTTGCTGAGTAAATTAAAGCCATATTTTATTGTGGGAATGCTATGTTCGAAGAGATTACGAGTTCACCTAGTCTGAGAACAGAAAAAAAGACTCTTGATCAAAGACTAATAAGCTAGCTATTCTGACGCGTTCCAGCCTCGCTAACTAGAGAGAGAAATCTAAGTTCGAAATGGGGAAATATATTCCACAAGCAGATGGAAGCATAAGTAATAACAACAGACACAAATCAAACGTATATACACAGCATAAATTACCCTTGGAAAGCGTTACAAAATAGCACACTAAAAGATACAATGAACCAATAGCGTTCAAGAGTCTCCAAGTGGGAATTACGACATGAAGGTGAAAATGAGCGTTTTTGGCGCGAAAACAAGAAATTCAAATTCCTAAAAAATTACAAAAATATGGTATTTACCAAGTGAGTTCTGAGGATCTGATATCCTCAACACCAAATGAATGGAAATCTAGATGTGGATAGTGAATTTATTCCATTTGAATGGAGATTTTCACTTAAACATTCAGAAAAAAACAGATGAATCGAAAAGAGAAATATTTTGATGGAGTTTCATTCTCAGAGCTGGATAGTTTGGTCGTGGAGATTTCATCATTGTTCTGTACGACATCATCAGCACAAACTTCAGGTATACTTCTACCTACTTCTCCACGATCAAACCATCCAGCTTAGAAAACAAAACTCCGTCAGAATTATACACCTGAGCTACAAACCTTCTCCACTATCTCATAACAGAAATATGACTAGAGGGAACAATTTTATGTAAACAACATTAGATCTAACTTTCGTTCTATTTTACATTCATTCATCGGTGCGAAACAATCTTAAACATGATCATATTCAATGATGCTATCACTGATCAATTTAAAGAGTGATTGATAATCGGAAATATTTAAACTAATTAATCACTGAGTAGTAAAGAATGTGATATTCATCTACTCCATATTATTGATTGGATTCTTTCCACTAAGATAAAATCAGTCCTGTTGGGACACCTCAAGAAAGTCTTCAGCAGTTGGGAAAAGTATGAAAATAATTCATGCAACCAGTTTTTAATACGAGCTTCATGGAAAGCTCTAGAAAAACGATGGATTGTGTAATATCTTAACTGAATAACTACTGGCTTTTGATACTAAATTTAGTTTGTTCCATTAAAGCCTTCAGAATATCAACAGCATTCATAAACCTACAAATTTCGTTTCTTATTGTAAAAAGTAGTGAAGTTTCTTTCTCTATACCCCGGAGTTTTCGTTCCTTTCAGAGTTTAGATATAGAAATTTTTCTTTAGGACTAGAATTAAGCTAAACATTCAGTTTCAGTCGATTAGGGAACCGAACTTATCAAGTTCCCTTTAGTTTGCAGATACACCATATTGAAAACTCAGAAAGAGGCTTTGTGGATATTATAGTAATTTAATTGTTTAATTCGTGAGTTAACTGAAGCTAGACCATCATGAAAAACTGGAAGCACTGAACAATCGTTTCGTCTTATTGTGGGACTCCTCAGCAATGCACAGCCATGATCTCGCCTCACGAAATTCGAACCAAGGACATATCAGTCTCGTGCGCGAATGCTTAATCTCTAGACTACTGAGTCAGTCGGCATCCAATGCTGTTAATGCCTAACTTCAACTAATCCACGAAATTAAGAGACACATCTACCATTGTTTTCAGTGAATTACTATCTCACAACTAACCCAGTGGAACTCCACTGATCACTACTTTTCACTAGAACTGCAAGAAATACCTCTTGGAAACTGTCCACGAATGAGAATATAATGATTATAATCACACAGAGTAGTTATTTATTTATTTATTTGAACACATAGAATTTGGTACAAGGGGGTATCAGATACATATGCGCCACATAAATCTCATTAGATTTGTGTGTTGGCTGTGATACTGCTCGGGTGTCCAGACCGAAGCAGGTGGTTTTCTTAGGATGCCACTCCCTGAGGCTTCGACCTGAAGGTCTGATCCACAAGGCAGTGGAGTAACGTTAGGACATGCATTACCATGGTAGCCGGTGACCAACGATTGGTTCATACGCCATTTGTTCCTGCAGGATACTGGAGCCCATGTGCACTATTGGTTTGGGATCCGGTTAAAGTGCCGAATATTCGCTTTTCGTCCTCTCATTTCCATAAACAACACCCTCTCCACGAGAAGGCAATGAGTAGGGATTCCCTGGCAGAGGTAATATACGCATCGCCATGTGAGAGTATTTCGAGAGGGAGAGAGGGCCCACCCCACTCTCGGCCATACCAGCGCATTTGAGGGCAAGATATTAATAACTTCCAACTAGTATAGAATCTAGAATTAAGTAAAACTTTATTTAAATTGTTTCATATCACTTCATTTCTACACTTTAGGATTTTTGCGGATATTGGTCATGTTTACAAATTATTGGAAAAAATGATCGTTTCGCTTGTAAAAATGGTGAAATATGTCATATTATCTCATCAAATGGTTTAAATAATAATGATTGTTTTGTACCACCATGTTATTTACGTACAATTTGTTTAAATGCTAGTCAATCAATACAGGGACAATTAAAACAATTATTACCTAATTATTATTTTAAACAATCATTACCTGGTTGTCGACCAAATAGTTTTATATTAAATAATCATTGTGCTAGATTATTATTACATTTTTCTAAATTACGTATGTCTTATTCAACAACTATTGATGATATATGTAATGCTGTAAAAAATTTACCATCATTAAAAAAATATCATCACTATGGTAGTAGTAGTAGTGGTGGTGGTGGTGGTGATGATGCTGCTGATGATGATGGGGGTCGTGGGAAATTGGACATCGGTATAAGTTGTGATATAAAAGCTGGTTATTCTATAGAACAACAAAATATAATAGAAGTAAGTTTAACTTCATTGGTATTTCATGTGAAATAAATATTATTGAAGAAGATTATTTATCTTTATAGATATGCACCATATAAGGCACTTATTTTGTGTGTAGGTTGTGATACTGCGCGGGTTCTCAAACTGAAATAGGTGATTCTCTTTGGAGGCCACACTTGGAGCCCTTGACTAAGCGTTTGAACCATAAGGCAGTAGAGCAACGTCAGCAAATACAGTTCCATGGTATCTGTTGACCGACGATTGGTTCACACGTCATTTGTTTCTTCAATATATTGGAGCCTATATGCACCATTAGTTTGCAATCAGGTTTTTTCAACACCTCCTAGGTGGACCCTCCGTATCCACCAACCCAAAAGCGGCGAATAGCTTTTCGTCCTCTTAATTTCGTAAACAACAGTTATGCCGCAAGAAGGCAGTGAGTAGGACCTTCCTAATAGTGGTTGTATGCACGTGGTCATATGAAAGCTGACTCTCCTCACTCTCAGCCGTACTAGGGTACTCGGGGGCATCTTTTAATCATATAACCTAAACTTGATTTTTTCTTATTCTTAAAAATGAAAGCATCATTAAAAAACAATGGAGGATTGAATATCTTTGGAAGTCCTCGACACCACGTACATACATAATGACTCTAGACGGAATTAAGCCTAGGAGTGTCAATTCTCTTAGTGTAAGCATCATATATTTAGATCATAGACTTAAATTCAATAATTGATACACAGTGATTATTATTCAATATTATCCATAATATCTGCCCTGATTGTTCCCACAAGTGGGGACAACCAAATGTATTTAAACACAATCTTACAGAATATGTCGGTAAAATCTGAGAACCAAACAGTAAATTCTTTATTTGAAAAATGTCAGTCAATCGAGTCAGACTTCATTGTTCCTTCATTTCCACACCACTCACTCTCTGTTCTCGTTCACTTCTCTTACATCTTCTTAACTTTCTGGCATAAGGCACTTCACTTTCGATTGGTGATACATACTACTTATATCTATCGACATCAGTAGAATACACCAGACATTACATCAGTGATTTAGATAACGACAAGTTTTGGTGAAATGTTATTCACTACAAAACCGTAATTTCACTTGGCGTTGATTGTTGACACCAACAGTATTTTGTCTGCTTGGTTTGACAGAATGATTATTATAATTTATTGAGGTTTCTCCTCCTTTAGCTTCTATCTCTGTAGTGTCATGTTTTAGATTTACCAGGTGTTCACACTCTGTAGTAATCATTTGTAATGTCATTCCATTATCTTCAAAGCAGAATAGTAATCGTGTTCACACTTCAGCATCTGTGGGTAATTGTAGTCTAGAAAACAAATGATGGACATTTAAACTGATCATTTGATAATCCATTTAATTGAAAGCGATCAGCTTGTAGAATAATCGTGCTTGCGTATGCTAGATAATCTTCATCAACTTCGTTGGTTAACCGGAGGCATTTGTAACTCCTTTGTGTGATTTGACATCATGTCATTTTTTATATTTGTAATATTCTTGTGGGTCATGTTTTTGTGTTGGCAGTCTTACCTTTGAATCAGGCCTGTGGATACGGACAGTAATGTAAATAAACTACACTGTCCCAAAGAAATAAATATTGCACGAACCTGCTCTAGTTATTAGCTACCACAGAATTGTATTCCCTGATGCGATTGTGTTGTCTAACGGACAGAAATTTAATGTTAAAGGTTTGAGAGTTAGTCAGCGGTAGGAAAACTATTAGTTTCCGTTTGGATATAGTTCAGTGAACAAAATTATCAATCTTTGTATACACTATCGACATATTATCCAATACATTTCATGTTTATTCTTTTCCTATTACCTAAAAAAGGTAACACTTAGTTCATTGAATGATCAAGTTCGAATTGGTCCAGATGGTAGAGAATATTCATTTATTCATGAATTAGCTAGAAATTTATCTAAAGAAGCTTATTTAGCTGCATCAACTAATTTAAAATTACGTAAAGATAATTTGAAACTATTCAATAGTGGAAGTGACAGGAATTATGAGTTTGCCAATAATGACAGTAACCATGATGATGAGGATGATGATGAAGGCATACCGTTACCACCGATGTCTATGATTTTAGGCACTGATCAATTAGATGATTATTGGCATAGAGTATTGCTTGGTATAATTGAAATTCAAGTTGATACAATGGTTGTAAATGAAAATGATTTTGGTAAGTGTAAATATTATTAAACAGTAATTCAATTTAATAACTTTCAATCCCTTTGTTCTGCATGATTGTGATGCATATCAGTTGTCTGTTTACTTATTATTGTGATAGTTTGCTATGCACTACTTTATGACTGTGAAATACTCCCTTAGAAGGTGAAGAATACGAAGAGGTTGTAAGGTTTTTGAATATAGGCATCTTTGAATAATCACTCTCAGAAAAGTGAAAACACAGGTTTGTGGTTCAGTTTATGGTACGAGGCAAATTGGATCGGAATTTACATTGGATTTGGGGCATATAGTACATAATGTAAGTTTAATGAGTTTTATAAAATAATAGGACAAAACAAAAACGGCAGCCATTCATTACATCGATTTATTCTAACATCAACACGACATAATATGATTATCGGTACGAATCAATCGTACTTGAAGAAAAGTTTCAGTCGTGATATTTTTATATCGTCAGTCAGTCAGTGATCTTGAAAGCTGTTAGAGGTAGGAGGTTAGTTATCACTTCCCGGTTGTCCACACCGTGTAAGGGTTCTTCTAGAGATACCTGAATAAGAAATTGGGTTAAAATTGGTCTTAGTGACCTGAGAGCGTGACCGCAGTGCTCAATGGATAACTGCTTAAAGTCGTTCACACACATTTTTTTGTTAGCTCCATACTTGTTAGGACCTTACCACCGTAGACGGATATCCGTAGGATAAGGCGAGGTGTGGATTTTTAGGGTCGACCTTTTCTAACCCCAGGGGAAGGCACCTCTGTGTCGAGGAAAACACCTCAGTGCCATCGCACCTCTCTACAGTCAGCAGTACGACCTTCGAGTTTGTTACTTTTAGTCTTACCGCTCTTCAACCGACCTGTCTGGCATGGTAGAACCTTGAGAAACGATTGTTCTAGCCAGTATAACTCGACCACCACATTAAGGTAGCAACAACGGCCGGGATTTTTATATTGTATTTCATTAATATGTTCTCAATATATAGTAGATCAATTCAGTGTTCAGCCGTAGTTTCATAACCTAATAATATTTAAGATCACAAATGATTACATATTACTCTCTCTCTCTCTCGTGTTTCATTTCAGGTCCACGTGTATTAGTTCCAATAGTATGTGCTACAATCTTAATTATTGCATCAATATGTATCTTTATAATATGTTGTTATTCTCAAAGAAAACGTCGTGAACTTCTTATGAAATATACAACAACAATAGCGCCTAATAATGAACAATCATCAAATTTAATAGAAGATATATCAGAAAGTAATAATACAACAAATCATCATCATCATTTCAAGAATATAACACATCCAATCAATATAACACCGACTAATCAAAACTATACTTCATATTATCCATCACAATTATTATGTGAATCATCATTACAAACAAGACGATTTCTATCACCAGAATTTCATGGAAGACGACTATTACTTCATAATGATAATAACAATAATGGTAGTAAGAAGAATATCAATAGTCATATTCCATCAGGAATTTGTACAATCAATACAAATCGTGTAAATATGAATAAATCCAGTGGAACAGTTGTGATTTAAGTGTTACGTATATATACATGAAGTTACTAAAAAGATTGAAGATGGGCTCAATGAGAGGTTGAAGATTTCTTAACCGGGTTTCAAATGAAAATTACATCATAACTCGTAGTATTGATTTTCATAATGCATCATTGTACAGATTATTTTAATGAGTGAACCATTTCTTTTTCTGGTGAATTCTCTAATAAATGCTCTTTGTAGTAAAAAAGATAATTAATCAAATATGATGTAGGATATGGTATCAATGTAACTTACTTACGTCTATTACTCCTCGTGGAGAAGCATAGGCCGCCTACCAGCACTCTTCATCTAAACCTGTCGTGGGCAATCCTTTCCAGCTCCTTCCAGTTCTTATTCATCCTTTTCACATCTGCTTATATTTCTCGATGTAATGTGTTCTTCAACCTTCCACTTTTCCGCTTCCTTAACGATTTCAAGTTAGGGATGGCCCCGTGATGCAGTTTGGTGATTTCAGTAATGTTTGTCCTATCTACTTCTAAAATCTTTTCTTCATTTTCTCTTCGGTTGGAAGCTGATTTGTTCTCTCCCACAGACGGATGTTGTTGACGGTATCCGGTCAATGGATGTTGAGTATCTTGCGTAGACAACTATTCATAAATACTTGTACCGTTTTGATGATGGTTGTAGTAGTTCTCCAAGTTTCAGCTCCGAGCAGTAGAACTGCCTTGACATTCTTATTGAAGATTATGACTTGGATATTGGTTGAAAGTTGTTTTGAGTACCATATGTCTTTCAATTGTAGGAATGCGACCCTTGCTTTGCCAATCCTCGCCTTTACGTCTGCATCTGATCCTCCTTGTTCATCGATGATGCTTCCTAGGTAAGTGGAGAATTTCACATCCTCCAGAGTTTCGCCATCAAGTGTGATTGAGTTGATGTTCTCCGTGTTGTATTTGAGGACCTTGGTTTTTCCCTTGTGTATGTTGAGACCTCATAATTCAGAGGCTACTGCTACACTATTTGTCTTCATCTGCATATGATAGCATCAATGTACGTTGACATAATTTGCTACAAACTACAGCGTAAAAAAGATTAAATGAATAAAATATATAAAGTAGAAGTTAAGTGGTGATCTATGATGGTAGAAAAACATAGCACAGAGAATATAATTGAATCTGGACACTTAGTACCTACTGTTTGTTACTCCTAATGGAGCATAGTCCTCTGACCAGCAGTCTTCAACCCATTCTGTCCTGAGCCTTTTTTCTAGTTCTATCCAATTGTTCTTCATTCTTCTCATGTTTTTCTGTTTCCAATTCTCGGCGTAACGTGTTCTTTGGCCTTGAGAAATGCAAGTGAGGTCTTGCCTAGGAGCCCATCTAGGGCTACTGCCAGTCCAATGCGCGGGTAAAGGGGGAGAGTTGGCGACCCCATCACGTAGAAAACTAACTTGCTAAAAAGCGCTAACCAGAATTCTGGATACAAGGAATATGTAATAGTGTTGAAACTCAGTGTAAAGGAGAATGTATGTATCCGGGTTATTGGTCGATTTTGATATGCAAGATATTCAATCATCGTGAACTCCAACTAGGTAGTGTAAAATTACTTGAATGATCGAGATCACCAGTTAGTGATATCGTAGACTAATATCATATCTTGGTTTGGGTACCCTTTACGACTGCATCATATGGACGTAAATGAACTAAACAAATTATTTGGTACCCACTTCATTTTCAACTGTGTGTTATACGGCATGAATGTATTATCCCGGATGTTTAAGTTAGAATTATTGTATTACCTTCTCATCAGTTTGAGAATGACTGGTTAAACCTACTTATACTGTGGTTAATTATTCGATAATATAACCCTATTTTATCTGATAATTCAGAATTTCTATAAGCGATATAAAAGTTGACAAATTTACAAATCTGATATTTGAAGACAATTAATAGCGTCTAAAAAGAATAATAAAATAGACTAGGCGGATGGATCCAGTTAGTGGAACTTTTGATTTTCATGAATCTCTTATGGGATAACTGGATTGACCATTCCATATATTGAAATACCCATCTTACAAAGCAGCCGATTGAAATTATATGTACTTGTCGATAGTTAGAAAAACTTACGAAAACACCCATGCAATAATGATAAATTTAAGACATCGGCCAACTTGGCGAAAACAACATTAATGGAAAACTGATGTCATAAGACAGTAGACTGTGATAGATCTATGAAATAGACACTTAGCTTTGTTAAACGTTGAAAAACTAATAATATTGCCGATTTCTACTCCTTGATTCATTAACTGGAGACAGTTTGTAACGTGTTATCGTAAACATATAACCTGGTTCTCTATTGTCAGTCGGATATTGTATCTATGTATATCACGCGATCCAGTTTGGCGATCGTATAATCTCATGTCCAGATCGTATTCTGTTAACGTATCGCTACAAACGACAAAAAGGTTAGATATTCTAATGTAGGAACAAGATTCGGATCAGAAACAGCTAATTAAAAGTTTTATTCTTTAAACTGTTTGATAACGAGCATAATTGCTATGACTACGTACATAACTAAAAGTTACTGACTGAACAACAGGTATAAATGTCTCACAGTTACCCAATTTTATATTTTAAAAAAATTCCAGTCTTTAATATATAGGAACAATGAAATATAATTTTGTATCATTTTAGAAAGTCTTTACAAACATATGGATATCCCATGTCTTTAAGAATCCAAGCTGACACAAATCATGCAGTTTGTAAAATCAAATTTATCGAAATAAACAGATAATCCCAAAAATCCATTCATTCTCATATTCATAAGACCAATCTTCATTAGATGTGAGTAACTGCTCTGTAATAACAAGTGTATATAAAAGATAATGAATCGCTAAACACCACTATATTCACAAATTGACTAATTGTCCTCGATGGGACCAAGCATTGGAAATTGAAGCAAAAGAGGAACTTCATCTATACTCTCTGCAAGAGGGCTAGACGAAATTTTACCGAAAATGCCATGTATATCGAAATTGCAGCAGATTTTTATGAATAATGAATATCTATATTGGGACGTCCTTCGAAAAGCACAAGTCTCTGGAGACTCTAACGAACCAGAGATTCCATCCAATGGAAACCTGTTATAGCTGTCTAGAAAATCGATGTGGCATCCTACGATTAGACAATAGCATAAATTGCTCCCTTGCGGATCGACCAAATTATAATGATGTTGTAGCCAACGCTAATAACCATAAGTACCCGTTTTTCTGTACCTTTTTTATTCATACCCTATAATCACTTCCCCTGCTTCTTACATCTGATTTTGCCACTGTGGGGTTCCACACGTCCGAGTGCCGTTAATTGTATGCCGTATTTTGCAGCAATCAAGTAGAAGACATAACAATCCAGATTTATTGGGAAAAATCTGAAGCCAAAACAACAATGTGAAACAGTGTCTATAGCACCAAAGAGGAATCTTTCTTTATGGAAACTCAATTTAAACGAGCTACTACAGTAGCACTCTGAAAGACTTTCGAGATCACTGAGAAAAACTTTCTAATCGCTTAGGCTTTGTATTATCTTTACCAGTCGGTCCATGATTTGTAATTGTGTGGAGGATAATCTCCCGCTTTGGGTTTAATAAATCTGCCCTTTCGAAAAGCATCTCTGGACATTAATCTACATACATGTCTAAAGAATTGAGAAAGTCTGTCAAAAGCTTTTATCTTGAAGCACCTATTCAATACTAGTCATTCTGCTTCACCAGAATCCTTTATTCTTCCATAGCCGTAAACTTCCTTTCACAATCTTCCGTAATCTATGATTTTACTATGAAAAATTATTATTTCTACTCTTTTTTCAATTAATATTTACAACTATCAATTGGTCATCATTAGAACATTCAATTCTGTTGTTCTTAATAGCTTTCAAGTGGATCAATTGTCTTTATCTTTGAAGTTTCTCATAAATCGATTAGTAAATAACTTCCCTTCAATATCTGATTTTCGTAAAAAGTACATGATAACATAACACTTCAAAAATGTTTAATTGTTCAACATCATTCTTTTTTTTACTATTTTAGCAAGTGATTTATTTATTTAAACACGTAAACATTGGTAGAAGGAGGCACCAAATACATATGCGCCACATAAATCATTTGATTTCTGTGACGACTGGGATACTGTTCGGGTGCCCAAAACGATGCAGGTGGTTCTTTTCGACGGCCAAACCCGGAGCCTTTGACCTAAAAGTCTGGTCCACAAGGCAGTGGAGCAAAGGAAGGAGATGCAGTCCCATGGTAGTCGGTGGCCAATAATTGGTTCATACACTATTTGTTCCTTCAGGGTACTGGTGCCCATGTGCACGATTGGTTTGGAATCACAATTTCTAACTCCCATAGGTGGATCCTCTATATTCACTAACCTTCTTTCCGTTATCTCAATTTCGTAAACAACACCCCGGCCTCGAGAAGGCAGTGGTTGTATATACGCGACCATGTGAGAGCATTTCGAGAGGGAGAGCTGACTCTCCCCACTCTCAGTTGTAAGGGGGCATGTGAAATTAACGACGAATATAACTGTAAACCTTCGGTAAATTAAATCGTCAAGAAAACTCTCTACGCTGCATTATCTTCATTCTTTTTGAATGAGACATTGGGCCTCATTCAGTAGCAAATTTTGATATATAACAGAATGATTTTCAGTAGAGAAGTTCTTTTCAAACCCTAACACTCATTATATTTGTGTTTTTAATCCGATAAATTGGCTGCGCTACACTGACATGTTCATCATAAACAGTTATGGATAACTCCAAACAGCCGAAATGAAATCATTTGATGAACAAATTACAGTCCAATATCCAGAACTGATCTAATAAGGGGATAGAGAAGTTGAATATGTTATGTAAAACATAATTACTCGTTAAACATCAACATCGTTTTGGATAACCTTAGACAACAATTTTACTAATCATGAAAACTGATCCCTGAAATACAATTTCATTTTAATATTTTGTAATCAACTATACACATTAGATTAGGGTGCTTGGTACCTGTGTGGTTTTGCCACAGGATTGAACTGTACTATTCACATTGTAGCGTTAAAGCCTATATGATGTCTGGTTCTCCTGTGAAACGGGATTGAGCTGTACTGTTCAGGTTATAAAGTTTAAGCCTGGATCGTGTCTGGTTCTTTTGGAAAGAAATGTAAAATTACCCTGACCTACAAGGGTATATTGTATAACTTATATATGAGAAGAGAAAGGGCTAAATGTCATATGAATTCATGGGATTCTACAAAAGATGTTGTTATCAACTTTGAAAACGCTGTATGATACAGACAATCTTGAGGAAGCCAAACAAAAACTTACAGTAACAAATATTAAATTTTATGCAAAACTAAAAAAAATTGCGATAACTAGTTTTATAACTTTAATCACCTAACAACAAAATAATCCAAACCGCCACTTTTTTAGTTGAATGGGAACCCCCCCTCCCATCATCATCATCTTTTACTCCTCTTATAAATCATTGAAAATATTTTACGATAAAACAAACACTACGAATCAAGAAAAAAATTATACAACGAGTCAAACAATTAGGTTATTGTTATTTTCTTCATGAATAAACAAAAAAGAAACATACAAAAAGTGTTTGTGAGTGTGTGTGTGTGTGCTAGAATGAAATTGAAAACAAATAATCTGAACCAATGAATAACTATGCATATCACCCAGCAACTATGAATAAGGATCTGACATTTTTTCTAAATATTGTACTAAAGTAGTAACACTTGGATAATATTTTTGTTCTGTTATCCAAGGTAGTTTTGTGTATAGTGTATCGCTGTATTGAACATCAAAGGAGAATAGAAGAAAAAAAGAATGAAGAAATTAGACATGATGATAATAATTTGTGATAGATAAATAAAAGATGATTAGTAGAGAAATATTAAACCATTTAAAACAAGTATTGTATGTTTGGTATAGAGTTGAAATGAAATCTAAAAATCTACCTTTGCAATATTAGAGTAGGTTGGAAGAAAGACAGGGGCGGCTAGATCAAAACATGGCACAAATCCATGAAGACATTGACAAGTAGACTGAGTCATGTTGGTAGGTGTAAATTACCTGGTTGAAATCGGTGAGACGATAGCAACCGATGGTTAGAGACCTTCAATGACATGGCTCAAAATCATTTGCAATGGCGCAGGTGCATCCATTCTTTGTGTTCTCCCAAATTCTAATCTTCTGAATTTTTCATGTCCCTTTCATTTTTCTCTTTCCAAATTTATTTCATTGGATTATACTCCTTGAATAACATCTTCAAACCCTAATGTCTCCGATTACTGCTTATACGCTTACTACCTCTACCATTATGAGATTTGAATCGATAATTATATCTGTGTGGTAATGTGGTATGACAACTCGAATAGATGTACGTACGTACGAAGCTCTACGTTCTTACTGACTGACTGCAATATTCGAAACCCAAGACAGTGAACAAATTCGGAAGGTAAAAGAAGCTATACTAGTAGGTTTAGTATTTTTATAGAGATCAGAAGCATCTATAAAAATGATACTAGATATTCAATTATAGCTTGAGTATTTAGTCAGTTAATCTAGAAACAATCATAAACTGAGGAGGAGGGAGGACTTAATATTACAAAGCAAGTGATTTCCTTTGACGACACTAAGAGAGCTTTTGACAAAAACGTTCAATCGAAAAAGAAAAACAATGAAGCAACTACAGGAGATTCAATCTTGTGGTATCTGGTAACCAAAAGAAAGATTCGTACATTTGTTTCTTCAAAATGTCGAAACACATATGAACCATTAGTTTCAAACCAGTTTCTTACAAATCCTGCAGGTGAACTCTCCGTAGTCACCAACCTAGTTCATCTTTGCAGAGTTGTAAGACTTCCATTGAGGATGCTATAAACGAGCGGCTAAATACAAACCATTTGATTTGAAGAGTGGAGACTCTTTCCACTATCAATCGAATCTGTTTTCTAGAACACAGTCTAAAAGCACTTATGTAGTAAATTATTTAGGAGCTCCAATACTTCAAAACCAAGAAACCTATTTACGTTTCTTGTTTTTCTGTCACACTCCAAGTGTGAACAACAACGATAAATACCTGGCTAATCAAACATATGCGATATAATTGTCGAAAAACCACTATCGGAGCAGTACGTAAGCGAAACAATTGAGATCATTAAGGCATGCAACTTTCAATCACTTGGTCGACAGTTCAAACCCCATGAAAATAAAGTACTTCAAAGACCCGGACTAAACAAATTGGTACTTTGTTATTACGCTGAGTTATATTACTGCGAAAAGTACTCAAAACAGTGTACTCACGTGAATGACAAGTGTTCACTTTCTGGTAAATCGAAAGTGGATTCAGATTTCACTCGGTTAAAGTAATACACCTTTCCAGTACTCCTACTAATCTCTTCAGTCCAATTATCTATAAGCATACAAAAACAAATAGAAATGTGAAGTTTCATTAATGACTGAACAACAACTAAACAAAACATGATGATCGTGTAAAAAGTCATTTCATATAAAGCATATAACGATCCCGGTTCAAAATAATGCAAAATCCTTTATAAATGCTTTAGGACGTAAAGAATTTTTAGTCAGTCACAACGGTTCAAGTTGTCGTATGACATTAGCGCAGAAAAATGAAGTTGTCAGACAAAATCCCACATTAGTAGAGGTATTAACAGTATCATTGCTAATAAGAAAGATGATGCATCAAAGATACGACTCAAAAATAAAATATAAATTAGTCAAATAAAAACACAAAAACCGTTGTAGGGGATATCGAAGCTCAGGTTGCTTGAAAATAGACGGTAACTGGAATGTGTTCCAAAGCCAAGTGAACTGTTCCATAAAGTATATATTATTACTACTACTACCAAGGTTTGGCTTAATAATTTCAAATAAATTGAGCATTGGGTAGATTGTTATAAATAAAAAGAATATAATATCCCAATGAGTAGAAAAATTAGATTTCCTGATGTTTTGTGACTCAGTGTAAGCCAATAGTACGACGGAACAAGGTATCTAATATTCTTGTTTTGTTCCTTTGTTATATTTCTGAACTTGGGTTAATTTTAATTTGGTTATTTATCCTCTGAAGAATTGGCTTAAACTGAGTTACGAAATCTAATTTTTCTAGTTCATTGGGATATTACAAATATCATTTGTTCCCTGTAGTGTTCTGCCGATACTTTCTGTTTCCTGAATTGAGAGTGAATAATAGTCCTGCTCAAACTAGAGAATCATCCGAGTGTAAACATGTGCTCTAGAACAAGTGACAGTTTCAATCAAACGGCTTCGGTTGAGACTTTGAATTAAGATGTGATCAAGAAGTTTGAACAATTTTTTTCAATCAAGGATTGCAAACAGTTTAAAATATGTAATGCCCAATGTGTGAACCAAAAATATCACGTTTGATATTCTGGTGCAGTTCGGTATCGATTCAGAAAGCTCGTTTGAATCTTAGCAACAAGGAGGAGAGTTCCTTGTGCAATATTTCGCTCTATTTTACTTTATGAGTGAAACGTGGTCTTCAAATGTAGAAAACAATTATTCAATGATAGATGCCCTAGAAGGACTTCTCGCGCATATATTGTGAACGAACAAGTAAGTGAGCAATATTAAGGTAAGACTCAAGGTTTTAGAGAGATCAGTGATAAATCAGTTTATGAGATAATGAAAGTCGGACATGTATTACGTATCCTCCACAGCAATCTATCTCGATATGCGATATTTGCCTGTGTAGAAGTAGACAGGAATAAAATTGAAGAGAGAAAATGTAACCAGATAATCTAGTTGGGATTTAGACGATTACTGTGACCGATAGCAAGAGATGATGTTAGGTGAGAGCTCAGAATTAGTTGCAATGATCCAGATCTATGTACTCTTTATTTGACTTTAAATCATGATTTACAAGATCCTTTTATCATTTTTACTTCGCGGATTCATTCGTTGTTCACAAATCATATTCTTTATCTATAGAGCTTTTTAGCTAACACAGATACTACTAACATTACTTTGATATTCATCTCACTGCGGTGTTATATTGTGATAATTTACAGATTGATGAACATATATACAGGGTTTTGAGTTGTATACAACACACTGATAGTATGGGATCATGAGTTGGTACTGTCAATAAGTAGTTAACCCGCACGAACTACCTATCTAGAACAACATTTTTGAGTTTTCAGAGAATTTTTCCCAGCTTAGTATCAAGTTCTTGATATGAATCAGTTTTTAAAAGTGATAAACAAAAGCTTGACAAGTATCTGTAATAACATGACATAGCAAAACAAAATTCAATAAAATAGCCAACTGAAACATGGTGAGTGAATGAGTTTGGGGTAGATGAGTGCAGCAATAATAATAATCCACACCAATTGTTAATATCCTAATTACCTGTCATATGTTGTACTAATAACAAAGAATGTGGTTGAAATGTAAAACCATCGGATAAACAATGCATTGGTACAAGTGTTGGTGAATCCTTACACGGTAGAAGAGGTAGTCTGTAACAAGGAACAAATAAAAAAAAACGATTGGACAGAATATATATATAGTGCCAACAAAACATATACACTCAGAAAGTGTAGCACCATAATTATCTTTTCTGCAGCAATTTGGAAGACTCTCCCAGTCACCCACATTGTACGAACATTCCATGTACCTAAATAAATGGTTGCTCTGGTTGTCAGAAGGGGCATCGACCTCGTGACTTCCTAAGGAATTCGGCTTTCATCATGAGGCGTCATAACTCTTCTAAATGAAGACCTAACTCCCAGGGCAGAGTTTAAAAGGTTAGAATAATTTTTAGCGAGTAAGTTTTCTGCGTGATGGAGTCGCCAACCCCATGCCCAACCCTCCTACTTTATCCGGGCTTGAGACCGGCAGTAGCCCCCGGAGGGACTCCAGGCGGCGTTATGATTATCTTACTAAGTCATAAAACTGATCAAAATGAGGGAGAGTGACCATAGAAGACAAATTTATAATCAGAATTATCAATAAGTTTTGAAATTCAGGACATTATTAGGCTGCATGCTTGCCATTAAAACCGGGGCGAATTCAAGAAATGATTAATTTGTAAGAGGGTGAGGTCATTCGTTGATGGTTGAACTCAGTTAAGAAACTACTGACATAATACATTGATACCTGGGAAAACTATTGAAAAGTCTTTTTTTCTCTATCATACCTAATCTAGTATCGGGAATTGGGTCAACCCACATCTATATCAGGCTCTATGTTGATAATGTCTGTCTGTTTATTCCGTATCAAAATGAAACAACTACTGTCTAGTGTTCTCATGGTTTTCAATATTATTCTAGTTGAGTTCAATATCTGTGACGAAAATTCACACTAAACCACCCAAAAATATTTAAAACATCTTCACAAAACCTCAATATCAAAATGTATTATTTCCTGAAAATAAATTCGAAACCAACTGAAAATGGAAATATGATTTAACAAACGAAAACATTGATCATGTGTCTGCGACTAAATCTCACTACTTTATGCGTACCCATATACATTTAATTGTAACTAACATTAGTAATAGTGAAATCGAATAGACTCTTTAATGTTCATTCACTGTAATTAGTCAACATAATAAATGGAGAGGAGCCAATCTGAATTTAAGTTTTAAGTTATTTTTTTATCGGGCTTCAATTGTAACACCATAATGAATACTGATCTGGTAAAAATACAGTTATAATTTTTTCTGTTTATCCTAGATCATATTATTTGGTTAGTACACTACGAATGGAACTTTGTAGATTGTTTTGACTGTCTCATTAACATTACATCAACATCGACGATATTTTATATGTAATACGTTTTAACTGGTATTGCATGATTTCTAATTTACATGTCACAAACATTTTTATGCAATACATTATGAACAATCGTGACAGTTAAGTTCTTACTAGGATGAGATAACTACTACCGGATGATAGCTGTATCATAATATTTTGAACTGAAAGAAAGTGAGTGAGAATAGGGGACCCCGAGGTAATACCTCTCTGAAAGACTAGGTATTTAATTTGATCCGGTATGCAAGCTCGTGAGGATACACTGCTGCTAATGAGTCGTGACCCAGGATAGTAATTTTTATTCAGAGGTGCTCCTGGATTATCAGTAGTTCCACCAACTGGTGTATTGACCCATGAACCAATTATTGGTCACCGGCTATCATGAGACAGAATCTCCTCATGTTGTTCCACTGCCTTGAGGGTCAGACCTTCAGGTCGAAGGCCGTCTAAGAGAACCACCTGCTTCGATTTGGGCACCCGGGCAGTATCAAAGCTCTCAAACAAATGAAATGAGATTTGTGTGGCGCAAATGTATTTGATGCCTCCTTGTACCAATATCTATGTGTAGTTAAGAGTGAAATTGTTATATTTACGATTAATTAGTTTAATGTACTTAAGTCAATGTTAGTAGTATCCACTGTTTCGAATGCAATCGCATTCTATATAAAACTATTTATTATTTTAAAAAAAAACATTACGAGGTTCAAGTGGTATGATATATCCTACTTTATTTAACTTCAATCTTTGATAAACTTAAACAAAGTAAAGACAATCAGATTTACAAAATACAATGATTACATTCTATTTCGATGCTTCTTATCGGCATCTAAACAGACTAAAGTTACAATTACTAAGAATATAATAAACTATGAAGAAAGAAAGTTTAAACTGTACAGTCAACTGCGTTTTAGTTACTTTCAGTTTAATATTTATAGAGTAAAGGGAGTTTAGTAATCGGTTATGAAATCAATATACCATACATTAGGTGCGCAAATATAATTGGTCAATCTTAATCAACATTAAATCGGGCATAAATGTACGTTAAGATTCAGTTGTCATAGGAGTTTGATGAAGATTTACAGCTTCTTGAAAAATGTATCATTACTACAGAATACTGTATGTTTAACCTCGATGTTGCTTACCGGGTTATCGTCCCATAATACCCTAATAATAGTTCGAAGATATCTACGACTAGAATTTTGCATCTCAACCATATTGTGTGCTTGTATAGATAAAGTTTGACATTCACAAAGTAATACAGATATAATATACAAAGACTTTTATAAACATGTAAATGCATTCTAAAAATAAGAAGAAGAAGAAGCGGGCAAAAATTACACAACTTACTTTTTCACATAATCAACTATTTCTGACAATTTTAGAAATGGTGGTACACGAACATTGGATGAAGTCATATCTGGAAAATTAATTACATTTGTCATTTGTTCAGCTAATTCCATTCTAACAAATAAAATGTATGTTGGAAGAGGAAGAAAGGAATCATAAACATCTATGTTGTAAACGAAGTTACCATTTAATAAGTATGTTAGTTGTACGTCAATATGTAGTAAAACCTAGTAAATGTATATGCATCGATACACGTTAACATACAATCTACATGGGAACAGTACAGTGAAACTATCAAGACAAATGTAAGAGTAGTAGAAAGTTACACTATCAATGATATTAATAGGAAAGCCTGGGTATAGACGATATGATTCCAGAAGGATAAATCCTGGATTGAAAAATTATAAGACAACCATAAAACTCAGGGGTCTAAGATGAAGTAGGGATTGAATTTATCTAAATTATTGTAACCGATTCTGAGTTATATAATCATCTAACGTCTCCGACAGCTGGTTAGGATGGTTTTCATCTACCACCAGGGCTAACTTCAACAATCTATAGCATCATGGACTGATTAATATTAAATATGTATAGACTTGTACTGACTAAAATGAATTTGGAACTATTTGTTGTGTAGAGAATATACAAGTTTGCTGATAATAAACTTTCATTTATTACGAGCATGTTAATTGTAATAAAGACTGAGTACAGAGTTTTTGTAATTTCGTTCACAGAATTACCAAACAATAAGGACTCGTCAATTGAAACTTGAAAATACATTGGACAGTAAAACGTCTAGATTTCAAGACTAACTGACAATCATAAGTTGCAGAAAAATTTGATGATTAAAATCCATTAGCATACTAGTTTGTATTAATCAGTTAGTTAATCGTAAACAGTATCGAATATGACATTGTCCTCATGAGTCTGTCTCCAAAACAGTGAGAGAGACGATGTTCACAAGATAAAATTAAAAAAGTAGATGCGTAAACAGTGAAAAATAATGGAGAATATACTCTGCAAAATGATTTTGGAGAATGAAAAATAATCACAAATAACCAAATAGATGAAAGTAAACAATGAACGAATCCGCACCGCTGCAACGGAATCATTTCCAACAACGGATATTTCAATTAGCCAGGTAGACATTGACCAAAGAATATCGGAACAATCTCAACACACCTTAAACGAACTTCATCCATTGATAAAACACAACTGGTTTTCAGTGGTTCTAGACTCCTAATCTACTTGTCTATATAATACAAACAACCGGATGTCTACAGTAAGTAGGTAAAAGTTGTATATCTAAAGACAATAATCTCAACAGTAATAAATATGAGTATATTCAACGATTATATCTTAAATCAATGAGTGAAATAAATATAAGAACAACATGTACTTACCTTTTCCTGTATGGTAATTTACGACAATCTCGACCGTAGATACACACAACATCATATATAAATAAACCGTGTTTTCGTAAACCATTCTATAAAGATTCAGAGAACAATACAAAAAAAACTTTTAAGATTTTTAACAAACATGTTAATCAAAGACAAGAGCACAATTAATCATTACATGAAATAAATGACATACACACACCCTCTTGATACCAGAAGTACAGTAGTTTATCACTAACATAAATGAAAACGAATTTAATCGGTAAAAGTCAGTTTCTGATTAGATGGGACTGAAAACAAATGCACACACACACACATATCAAAATATGTAATTTGTACACTAAACAATGAAGAACTTAATAATAATTGTTATCAATGAAGGAAGTAAATCTTACAGTACCACAGTTCCCGACAAATCATTGTTGATCAGAGAATCAGCATCGTTCTATAATATAGACGGAGAACAGGTACTGTTGATGAAAAAAATGCTTTGAAAATATGATTTTTTTCCTCTCTCCAAACTAATTAATTTTAATTCATTATTCAACTGCAGATTATAAATCATCGGACGTCAATCATATACGACTAGCCGACTGCTACTCAAACAAAAGGTGAGATTCTATCGATTTTCTGGGGGGTTTTAACTAGCCAGATAATCGCTGATCTATGCTTATTCAACAAAATTTATTTTAATATCAGAAGGGTTTTTGTGGATATTATAGTAATTTTAATGGTTGAGATCATGAGTCAATCGAATCTAGACAACCATGGAAAACCTGGACGGTCGTTTCAATTGACTCATGATTTCAGTTACTAAAATTACTATAATATCCACAAAACCTCTTCTGATACTAATCAACATATGCTCAATGGTGATTGGCTTCAAGAGGTATTTCCTGGAGTTCTGGTTAGAAGCAGTGATCAGTGGAGTACAACTGGGTCTGTTGTGAGTTAGTAACTCACTGAAGACAATGGTGGATGTTTCGTGGGATTAGCTGAAGTTATACATTAACACCGTTGGATGCCGGATCAGTGGTCTAGAGGTTAAACGATCGCGAAACGAGACCGATAGGTCCTGGGTTCGAATCTCGTGGATGAGTACTGCGGAGGAGTTCCAAAATAGGACGAAACAACCGTCCAGTGCTTCCACGTTTCCCATGGTAGTTTAGCTTCAATTGAATCATCTATTCATTTAAACAAACACATTTAGCAAAGACTATGATCAACACTTATAATGTGACAATTTAGTGAAAATTTTTGACATTAAAGTATGAAATTAGTAACTACTCAATTGTTATCATTTCAGTATGTAGTGCAAAAATTAATTGTTCAACAGTCAAAATAGATAAACAGTTTAGAAAAGTGAACTTTAAAACAACAAGAGTTTAATTTAAAGCTAACGATACAACCCTTTATAATGATACTGAGTTGCATTATATGTTAACAAGAAAATTAAAAGAACATATAGCATTATTATGAGATTTGTATATCGCAATAATACTACTTAATAATGACTAGTATATATTGTTGCATAACCACTACACGTATTACATTGACTGAGTGTAAGTACTTATAGTTCACATACCCAAAGTGACATTAGTCAGACAGCTATTGAAGACCAGGAAGCATTGGACAGCTGTCACATCCTGCTATGGAAATCCTTAGCAATAGGCAACAGCGATTTCGCCAAGGATCGGTCGAGCTCAGAAACCCCAGGTCTAACAGATAGCGTCCAAACCGTAAGACCATTGACGTGATATTCAATGGTGGACAGTTTTAATTTTAATTAGTTTACTATATTACGCAATCATCATCCAATACCGTTAGTGAATAACTGTCTGATTATAAACTATCTACTTTCTATTGACCGGCTCAATGGTTCGACCAGTTTTATATTGAATTTGTTACTTTCGTCTCTGCCTGTACGAAGTGTCGATTGTTGTTATTCACTTTATCACTTTCAATGTAATTTTGTAATCGAAACCAATTTTAATTTAATCTGTGAAATTATACCATAAATATTCTGAGGTTAGACAGTTTTGCGATTTTGACCAACTACGAGTGCATGGTTATTACTGTTAATCAATCAATAATAATTCCATTAAATAAAATTAATTTAACTCATTCACCAGGTAATTGAACATGACCTAAATGGCCTGGTACGGTCGAGAGTGGAGAGAGTCAGATATTCCTCTCAAAATGCTCTCACATGGACACGCGTATACAACCAATGCCAGCGAAGTCCTACTTACTGCCTTCTCGAGGCGAGGGTGTTGTCTACGAAATTGAGAGGACGAAAAGCGAATGTCTCGGAGCTTTACCTTGGCGGTATGGAGGATCCACCTATAGGAGTCAGGAAAACCCTTATTCCAAACATATGGTACACATAGGATCCAGGATCCTACAGGAAACAAATGGCGTATAACCAATTGATTGGTCACCGCTACCATCGGATTGCATCTCCTAATGCGCATTGTGGATTAGACCTTTAGATCAAAGGCTCCGGTGTGATCCTCTAAAAAAACTAACTGCTTCGGTTTGGGCAACTGAGCAGTATCACAGCCCTCACATAAATTGAATGATTTATGTAGTGCATATCTGTTTGGTGCCTTTTCGTACTACTGTTAATGTTGTACTAAATAAATGAATAATAAATTACTACACGGCTGCCCAAACGGAAATAGATGGAGTGGGGTTTGAACCTAGGCTAAAAGTCGAACATCCTAACCACTAGGCAACCACTCACTCCATCCCTATTCGTGTACGAAATGTACTATGTTGATAATTTTTGTTTTAAAATGTCGTCTTCAGATATGAAGAACTATTCTTATAATTATAAATAATGGAATTACAACTGTGAAAATGGTTTCTTGTATCTGAAGATTACAAGATGATCACAATCATAGAGTACCTGAGGAGTTGTCCATATTTATACGTACTTATGAAACAAACGGATGACGGGGTGAAAGAGATATTAGGATAAGCAGCTATCCACCTCATCTAAGTTTGATTAATGCACTTAAACACTGACATAAGTACATGTGTTTCCCCATCACCTCTTGAAGATCATACTGACTAGATACATCAAAAACCTGAACCAAAGTATAGGAAACAAGTATCTTGCAGTTTATTTAACACTGGACGAGTAATACAAACAATGCATATTAATCTTATATTTTCATGAGCCACAACAATTTCACTTGCAAAGACTAGTTTAACATTATGTATGTCTTTTTTAAAACTGGACCTTCATCGAGCAATAATTGTACATACAAACTGGTTAAATTAGGTCCACTAGGTGGAAGTCGAATGCAATCGGTATTAGTCTCAGGTGACAATTCACAACATTTGTTGATCTGAAAATCTTTATTCCATATGATCTATAGACAGCAAATATTGAGATTCCATGGAACGAATATCTGCAATTACAATGTGACAATAACTATATTCACACTAACTCAGGCAATAAAGCATGTTCGTATGATCAATGCGTAATCTAACCTAGTGATACTGATACCTAATAAAACATCAAGTAAGGTGGGGTTTTGTCTGAGAATTTCATCTCTCTGTGCTAATGGATTATGATAGATTGAACCGATTTTTATACGTATAGATTCACTGTTGAGGTTGATAAGTCACTGGTAATATGAAACGCTGTCATACAGAGTAAATTTCATAGCTGGTTCCTATTTTCCAAACAATAATTTCATGAACTCTGCCTTAAGTTACGAAACCGGGATTGAAGGCTAGAGGTATTAGATGCCTAACTACATCAAAATGGGCCTCAACATTGAGATCTACGACTACAGATTGGAAGCCTTCACCAGAAAGTATTTGCAGATTTATGGGTAACCTGGTATTTTGACTAATGATTTCGTGAGGAAGACTGTAATTTTAGAAAATGTTAATTACTCAGTGAGATAAATCATTCAAATTGCCTAAATTCTAGTAAGTCCCATACATGAAGTCTAAAACTTTCACTATGACAAGATTTCAAAGTCAAACTTAAAAGTTAGCTTTTACCCAGATAAACATATAGAACCCTTTTTGAAGAATATTTCAAATCGGCTATCGTCATCAGAAAGAAATATATAACTGAAGTAACTCGAGGTGCAATTAGAATATGCACATCAGCATACTTTGGACTACGACCGATATCTTATGCGAGTGCAGCTAAATTCGACCATGTAGTAACAACCCCATCACGTCCTGGTCCTTAATGTGCCAGAAAAGCTTCTTTGAAACCAGCCAAGTAATCAGGTTCAATAAAATCAAAATGACTGAATAATGTTAAACTTAATCTTTTATCAGACTTTTATGAATATTGTCTGAATGAATGTAGTACTAGTATTAATAGTAAGACTGTTAAAAAAGACAAATACTGTAGTAGTAAATAGTAGTTTATCATTCAATTTAGAATGCAGATCAGGAATAAATGCATTGTTGAGCTGGTTCGATTCAGTTGATGAGTGAATCTGACATGGAGCATTACATCGTCATACTAAAGCATATTCTGAGAACCTCCATGACCAGCACATATATCAGCAATATCTAATACATCCTATTTAAATTTGCAAGTATGGTGATAAGAGTATATTTATAATTCATGGTAAGTATTAGTGATGTTCAAATTGCTATTTAAAGATAACAAAAGTGAGACGTTAAATACTAACGATAACATATTTTGTATTATCGAAGTAACTGAGTTCTAAGTGCACTTAATTGCCCTGGTACGGCCGAGATGCTCTCTCAGCGATGGCATACATGTGCTCCAGCATCCTGAAGGAACAAATGGCGTATGAAGTAATTGGTAGTCGAAGGCTACCATGGTTTCGCTTCTTCGTACGTTGCTACACAGCGCTGTGTATCAGACCTTCAGTTCATAGGCTGGGGGTATAATTCCCTATGCAAAATACATGCATCTGCCTAGGCTAGTGAGATGTATTATTCTATACACAAATATAGTTACAACGACTTTCTTTACTGAAATTCTATTGATGATCGAAATTGATACTGTTTTGATAGGACATATTCACTGATCGAGCCTACTTACTAAAAATCTAATCTTCACTAAGATCTAACATTCACCAAAGTTGTACTTATGAAATAACATTTGAACAAATTCGTAGATTATTTGACAGAAACGCAAATAAGTGGTTAAAGTGAAGTAATGATACAATATACACGTATGTACTAGGTAGAACCACATTTGCACAGAAAATAACATGCCGTCTGAGTGTTTCACATATCTCAAAGCGGGTCAGTTGACAAAAGACACTGTCAGATAGTAACAACTAATGAGGTCTGATCGTTCTCTAATCGAATTTAGGTGGAATTCCGTTCTTTGAGCTTAAGTCTGTGCTGATGATGTCGTTCAGAAGAATGCTCCAGGAGCAAACCATCCAGTTCAGAGAAAAAAATAAACTTAAATCACCATCTAAGCTACAATTCTTGACCATCTCGAACAATTCGAATTGTATACTATTGAACTGGTTGCACTTAGTCGTTAGCGAACAGAGCGTGCCAATTCTACATTGATGCGAGTAATTTTTTGGACGTGACACTATGGTTTATGATAAGTTTTTTTACCAACTGACCTGACGGATGATATCATAATCAAAGTTTTATTCCTGTATTCAATGAATAACATTCAAAAGGTATTAGATGGGAAAAGGACTTCATAAAATTACTTTACTGAAGTTAACTAGAATAATCTTTTCGAGAATAGATAGAAAAACAACCTTCAGCATGTATCATAAGAATGTTTAAAGAGCAAACATAAATCATCTCGTTGAGTTATAAATACATACTCGTACTTGGGAGTACTTTTCACCATGCACTGTGATATTTGCAAATAGGCAAGAACTGAAAAAAGGAAGAACAAAGTGGATAAACTTGTAATAATATTATAATATAAACGAATAATTGGTGCGAGTTATTCAATAAAGAGATCCCAAGGGAAGGTCGAATATAGCAGTTCCTGTTAAGCCATTATGGAACTCAAAATGTACAATCAAATCATATGAGAAGTTTGATCGAGAGTTCGTTTCATAGTTCTATGTAACAATAACAACAAACAGTTGATATACATCTTAATACAGGTTACATGAACTATATCACTTTTCATTAAATAGGGACAGGTTTTACTATCGAAACTACCGATATTTAAAAAAAGGTGAAACGAGCTTCTAACCTGTGTTGTGGTTTCGTTGGGAATAGATAAATAATGAAGCTCTGACGAACAACAGAAGCTATTTTTGGAAACATCACTTAATTCACAGTTTGTAAAAATATTAACATTCAATCCTGTCACTAGGTTATTTCATAGACTATAAGCTTTAGTTTGATGCATGATTTAATACCATACTCTTTCCTATTTCAAAGCTATTATAACCTTTGGTACTCGATTTTTCCACCCTAACCCCCAATTCGGACATAATTGTATTTTCTTATTGTTTATGCGTCGGGGTCGTGTTGGTCTACTAGTTATTTATGTATCTTTTTACATGAATCTCAATCAGGGATAAATCGAGAAGTGAATCAGTTGACTCGTCCCCTCTCTCGTTTTCGCCTCTCTATCTAAGGCCATTAGTCTATTGTGCCAAGATCTTAATCTAGATCGAGACAATTTCTCTCCTGTATATTATTGGGTAAACAGATCAAGGACGTAACAGTTCTATGATCCGATTAAAAAGAATAATTCAGTGAACGGTTTTATAGTCAAAAGGTTGAACGATTAGTGCTACAACAAAAGTACACATACAGGTGTATGGACTGATTCAGACACAGATATATGCGAGGTGATCTTGATCAGAACGACCACTTACTCGTTCACGATTTTCACCCATAATTGCATCTCATCTAATGTGTAGGCCTGAAACAAGATGTGATTTATTTGGGCTTTTAAACATATCAACCAGTAACGAACCCAATAACTGAAGGATGGAATAAATAGTGTTCGCAACTGAAACTCAATGATTAACACTGAGTTATTACTTAAACAATCGTTTTCACCATCTAACCAAAAAAAGTGATTACTCACATTGATATATGACGAAGGGCATCTTACAATACATGTTCCGACCTTCAAAGAGATCAATTTTTCCGTAATTTTAAATATGCTTGCCCGACCAACGGTAACAACCAGGAAGCATATCTGAGATACATAACTTGAAAGATAGTCTTCTTGATCATTTGGTAAACATTAATTGAAGACCCACTAAAAGTTATGGGGACGATGGGAAATTATTTCAATCCTTCAATGAGAACTTGGTTTTCATATTGATGATTTCATCTTTTCACAGTAATGTGTCGTGACAAAGTGAACCGATGCGTATGTGTTCCAGGTTCTAAGATAGAGATGTGATTAATGAAGCGTCGAATATAAATCTCCCTAAAATGTCTAACAATCTGGCGTGCTTAACTCGCATCAAGCTCAAATTAACTAACAGTTCTTAAAGTATCAATAAAAACTATATGATGAAATCCATGAAGATTGTGAAACACGAACAAGGAACACAACAACAACAACAACAAACAAGCAAACAAAAAGATTAAACACATGAACGAACACAATTACCTTCCATTTTTCTAAACATGTTCTATACAATTCATCTTGTCTCTTTTCAGTAAGACTGTGATCTTGAGAGAATGCTAATAGTTTTGACAAAGCGATACATTGATGTTTAGCAAAACTAAAGGGAAGACGAAAAGAAAACAAGAGACATTCAGTCGAACATTTGATTTAAAATACACTAAAGCAATTAAGTTTACTAGGAAATTAGTTTTTCATAATCAATCTGTCATTAGCAACAAAGAACCTGGAATACATATGCACTAAATTGAGTTCCTAAATCATATTAGTAGCAGACTTTAAGGAATAAACAGTACAAAAAAATTAAGAACTTAAAACCTAAGAGAAGATAAACAATGAATGCATCTAAATCACTACGACAGGTTGTAAGCCGTATTATTCAGTAAAACCATATCATCGATTACAGAGCCCTTAATATGATTAATATATCTAGCCATTACCGAGAGGGGAGATGAGGATATTACAACGGGTTATGACACATCAATTCAATAATATCTATTTCTTTGCATAGTCTTGAAACCATTTGATAAGTCTTGTCGATCGAACGCTATAATCGTTTTCCTAAGCTATTCTGGTAACCCGCAGTCTAGAACTACACAGCGACTTGAACACCAGAGAGAAGACACAAGTATGAGAGAAAATACTTTATCCCAAGGTTCATTTTTGTACAGAAAATCATAGGTATTTATAGATGTTGGCGTATGTTAAATCAACATCATATTTCAGCCAATCCGTTAACGACATATTATGCTACCGACCAATAGAAGCACGCCACGTTGGAATTCTAGAACGTTCCATCATACTCTGATTGACTAGGACCCTTCAGCTCCTTTCGGGCCTCTGGAGGCTCCGTTGAAGTTCTCCGGAAGCCGACTCAACACCATCCTACAGTTGCATTAAGCTTAACATGAAGCAAACTAAATGAAGTTTCTAAAAGAATTCATGCAGAAACTACCAGTTCAATCTATCTCAGCTTCTCAAGAGAGTTCCGGTATAATAAAAAACCAGCTGAAGGAATTAACTTCTGATAACTTACCCGAATTTTTCGATTAATGGAAACAAAAATAGAACATGTGCATTATCAGAAATAAATCATTTTTTCAGTGTTTATCTCTTATTTAAACACATAAATAAATATTGGTACAAAGAGGCACCAAATACATATGCGACATACTTCGTCATTTGATTTGTGTGAGGGCCGGGATAACGCACGGGTTCCCAGACAGAAGCAGGTGGTTTTCTTAAAAGACCACTCCCCGAGCTTTTGATCTAGAGGTCTAATCCACAACGCAGTGAAGCAACGTTAGGAGATGCAATCTCATGTTAGTAGGTGAACATCATTGGGTTCATACGCCATTTGTTTCCTTAAGATCCTGGAGTCCATGTGCGCGATTGGTTTGAATTTAGGGTTTTCAAACTCCACTAAGTGTATCCTCCGTATCCACGAACACCAACGTGGTTAAAGCACCGGATATTCGTTTTTCATCCTCTCGAATTCGTAAACAACACCCTTGCCTCGAGAAGGCAGTGAGTAAGACATCGTTGTCAGTTTCTGTATACGCATGTCCGTGTGAGAGCATATTGAGAGGAATATCTAACTCTCCCTACCATCGGCCGTACTAGAGCATAAGATTGATCAAGCATAAATTTTGCAAAACTACATTTTCGCTACCTAAATTTATCATTAAACATACAACGGACAACAGTGAACGGTATCGTAAATAGTCTTATTAAATAGACAAATCAGAACAAACTTCCATGTATTTTCCGGTAAGAAAAGCATGCAAAAAAATCACAACTTACTCTTCATTCATCCCCTGAATAAATTGCATAAATTTTTCATCTTGTTCAATTATTTCAGTGTGACATATTCTTAATACATCCAATTTTGGATTGATTGACGATGATGAAGACACTGATTGGTTTGTTTTAATTTGATTTAACTTTTCATTCACTTGTAAAAAATGATTGATCACTAGACCAAGTGAACCAGATTGTTTCATATCAGTTAGAATGCCAAACTTTTTACTGGCTTCCACATCATCAACAACAATACCATTTGTGGTGGTTGTTTGTTGTTGTTGACCTGGAAATTTACGTGTCTTCTGTCGGAAACTTGACTTTTGATCAGTGGAATCCGAATGACTTGTCATGGATGATGATGATTTGGGAGCAGGTACACAACCAGCCATTGTGTTTAAAGATGATCGTAAATTTTTGCATACTAAATAACTTGATGGTTAGAAGAGAAAGCAACAACAATCACCGATAGAATGAACAGTTCGATAAATAATATATCAAATTACATAATAATAACCATCTACCACATCTAACAAGAAAGGGGAAATTAGGAAGTCATACAATGTCAACATTATTGTAACTTAGTAGTTTTTATCAAATAACTATTACAAATTATGGTGATCAAATTATGATGTGACATTAGTTCATAAAGTTAATTACCGTTGGGTTGAGAGTTCTGCTGAATGATGTAAGCCTTATAATTAGAGTGATCTTATAATTGGATGCCTAAAGATGATGTGTCTAGCAACAAAAATCGATTTCAGTTACCAAGATCCATCCATTCTTTGTACTTTGAATAAACTATGAATTTGATTATTATCTCATACTTTCCACCGTCCAATTTTATGCTATTCCTTTATTATCTATGTAACAAACGTTGACCCTAATGATGCTGACTCATATCAAGCTACATTGACTGAAACACATGTTCCTTTAGTTCCTACCACACAATGAAGGTTGATTGGAGAGTGGTATGACTAGGGCAACAAACTCATGATCTGAGCAGTAAGTCGTGCTGCGGAACGTACACAGATTTGACTGCAGGAAGGTGGTTTTCTCAGACAATCAACAACTACAGTCATATTACCCTAGCATAACAGAAGGAGAGAGTTTAAAAAGGTAGACCCTAGAAATACCAGACATCACCTTGTCTCACAGATAAGGACCCTAATGATAAGGCCTTAGAAGTACGGAGCTAACACAACTAAAACTATTCACATAAAATTTGTCTGTAAATAGCCTTAAGCAGTCATCCGTTTGATTCTACGAGTCACACTCTCAAGTCGTCAAGACCATCCTCTAACTCAGAATCGCTTACAAAAACCCCAAGAAGTATTGTTTTCTAAACACATTTTATAAATTTCACCCAAAAATACTCATTGATTAAAAGTAATTTTCAGTATTGTTTTTGGTTTTCTGAAGAATTACCCCAAAAATTAAACATGAATACTAACAGTTTATATTCATTTGTCAAGGCGTTTATTTTCTAATTGTCAGTATTGACAACTGCAACTGGTCACTTTCTATTGATATACATATCTTGAGCGGATCGCTAATAGAGAAACTCATCAATCACAGTCTTTAATATCAACAATTGTAAAATACAAACCATTAAGAACTAAACCTGTACCCGTCGCAAAAGCGAATGACTGGTATCTGAACTCAGTAGCTCAACCGATTGTGTGTTGACATTTGAAGTGAAAGGTAATGGGTTCAAGTCTAAATATAATCACCATCAACACTGGAATAGAAGTATATTCAATTGATGAATCCTGGAAATGAGACGAAACTCGTATCCTGGATTCTACTGTTAGATATAACTTAAATTAAATAAGAAAAATTTGTACTTAGCAAACAGGAATAAGCGAAACCTAACGGAATGAAACCAAAAATAAACTAACCGTTCCGAATTAGCTGGTCGACTAGTTACAGGTTTTATAATGAAAATCTCTTCAAATAAATAACCCATCAAATAAATTATGCCAATTGTGAATTCAGTGAATGTATCAAATAATTTTGTTAAAAAATGTCCACCTAAATTTGTCAGTGATTTTAAAAAGAAGAAATACAAATATACAATTCATATCAGAGGGGTTTTTGTGGATATTATAGTAATATCAGTAGTTAAGATCATGAGTCAATGGGAGCTAGACCACCATGGAAAATCTAGAAGCACTGAACGGCCATTTCGTCCTATTTTGGGACTCCTCAGCGTGAATTGGTTAGTTAGACATTAACACTGTTGGATGCCGACTCAGTGATCTAGTGGTTAAGAGCTCGCGCGCGAGACTGATAGGTCCTGGGTTTCAATTTCGCGAGGCAGGATCATGGATGAGCACTGCAGAGGATTCCCACAATAGGACGAAACGGCCGTCCAGTGCTTCCAAGTTTTCCATGGTGGTCTAGGTTCAATCGACTCATGATCTCAACTATTGAAAATATATAATTATTTAATATTACAATTAATTGTTAATAAATTTGGAAATGAAAAAAAAGATTTGTAACTGTGATGGATGCATCCACTGGCGACCTGTATGAATATCTGAGCTACCAGTTCCTCCCTACTATCTTGATATCTCAACAAATTATCTGTTTTCTTGTTTGTTTTAAAAAATCATTATGCCTATTAGTATCATAACCTATTCAGGTGTGTTTGTGAAGTGTTTACAACCTTTCACTGTACAAGTTACAAAAATGTACAATCGAGGATATCGTAATTACTGGCAATATTGACAGAAAAAGAATGAACATTATTTAGATACCCATTTCTGAAATTCCAACATCTAACTGTCGATCACTTAATACTTATCGTCAGGATGAATCAAGAAATAAGAAAAGGAAACTCGCTGAAATACTGTGATGAGAATTCTATATTGTACCGAAAATACGGTACTGAATAAAGCAAATTTAATAATAATAATAATAATAATAATAATAATAATAATAATAATAATAATATCACAGATTGAAATCATGAGTCAATTGAGGGTTGAGAGCTCACTGAAGACAATGGTATACGGTGGCGCAACTTCGTGGATTGGTTGGAGTTAGACATTAACAACATTGGATGCCGGCTCAGTGGTCTAGTTGGTTAAGCGCTTGGCGCGAGACCGATAGGTCCTAGATTCGAATCTCGCGAGGCGGGCTGTGGGTGCACACTGCTGAAGAGTCCCACGGTAGGATGAGACAGCGGTCCAATGCTTCCGGGTTTTCCATAGTGGTATAGCTTCCATTGACTCATGATCTCAATTATTAAAGTTACTATAATATCCACAAAACCCCTCCCTCTATTAATTGATTATTCTTAATCGATTTCTTCTCTGTCGATTTTCTCATCTCTTTTATATATGGAAACTAATCCACTACTATTATAAACCTTTTTTTAAGTTATTTTCTGTTCATATACGTTTGATTTCAATTTTGTTGTACTAAACCAACATACGCATTTATTACAGGTTTTAGCTTGTTTAAGTCAGTCCGTCAGTAAGTCAGCACTCACATAATCAAAATAACTGTAAAAATAAAACAATTTCTAAGGCGTTTGAAATATCGATGACATAGATTGGCAAAAATTTAGTAATATATCAATGCATAGATGTTAGATGATTGAAGATAATCAGGGGAAGACTATGAGGTTAGGTTTCATGTTAATTGGCACTTAGTGCCAAAGCGTACCTGCGGTGTTGTACATATATAAACGAACTTATGAAACAGACGAATTACAAGCAAAAAGAGATTTCACAATATACACCTACCTACCTGGTCTAAGGTTGATTAATGCACATAAACACTGACATAAGTACAATTGTTTAGACATAACCTCTTGAAGATTATACTGACTAGATACATCGAAACCCTGAAGCAAAAAAGAAGAAACAATTATCTTGCAGGTTATTTCAGACTGGACGAGTAATATAAGCAATGCTTATTCATTTTGTATTTTCTTGAGCCACAAAAACTTTACTTGCAAAGTCTATTTTAACCTCTTGTATGTCGTTGTTATAGTTGGAGTTTCATCGAGCAATAATTGTACATTCTAACTAGTTACGTTAGGTCCACTTTGTAAAAGTAGAATACAATCGGTATTCTTATCAGCTGACAATTCACAACATTTGTTGATGTGAAATTTTTTATTTTATATGAACTATAGAAAGCAAATATTGAGATTACATGGGACGAATATCTGCAATTCCAATGTGATAATAACTGTATTCACACTAAAGCAGGCAATAAAGCATCTTCGTATCTTCAATGCGTAATCTTTCCTATTAACACTGATACCTGCTACTACCTCTACTATTGTGGGATTTTGTCTGACAACTTCATCTCTCTGTGCTAATGGAGTATGATAAATTGAACCGATATACATATGTACAGGTTCTCCGTTGTGACTGATTGATCACTTGAAATATGAAATGAAGTCACACAGAGTAAATTACATAGTGATTACAAGAACTAACTCATCTGCCAAGTATAATTTCATGAACTCAGCCTTAAATTACCCATCCCTGTTTGAAGGCTATTGGTATTACATTCCTAACTACATCAAAATGGGGCTCAAACCTAAGATCTACGACTACTGATTGGAAGCCTTCACCAAAAAAGTAACTCCACATGTAATAATAAACTGGAATGTTGACTAATGGTTTCGTGAGTAAGACTATAATCTTAGATTCTGTTAATTACTAGGAGAGATAAATCATACAAACTTCCTAAAATGTACTAAATCCCATGCACTAAGTTTAAAACTTTCTCTTTTGAGAAAATTCCAACGTCAAACTAAAAAGTTAGGTAGTAAACAGATAAACATATAAGAAAACTTTTTGAACAAGATTTGAAATACACTATCGTCATCACAAAGAAATTTATCACTGAACTAACTCCATCTGCCATTAGAATATGCACACCAGCATTATTTGTACTACGACCAATAAATGATGCGAATGAAGCTAAATTCGACCATTTTGTAACATCCCCATCACGTCCTGGTCCATAATGTGCCATAAAAGCTTCTTTTGGACCAGCCAAGAAATCATTTTCACGAAAATCACAATGACCGGTTAATGTTAAACCAAATCCTTTAGCAGACAGTAATGGTTGTTGTTTCTCTGAAGTAGTACTAGTATTATTAGTAGGACTGTTATGATTGACAGATTCAGTAGTATCATCTAGTAGTTTATCATTGATATTAGAATGATGATTAGGACTGAGTGTATTGTTAAGCCGTTTCGATTCACTTGATGAGTGAATATGATATGGAGCATTACATCGTCGCCATAAAGTATATTCTGAGAAACCTCCAGGACCAGCACATATATCAGCAAAATATAATACATCCTGTGTAAAATGGAAAGTATGACGATAAGAGAAAATTTATAATTCACAGTAAATATTTGTCGTGTTCAACGTGCAATTTAAGGATAATTAAAGGGGAGAAGTGCAATACTAACAAAATTATAGTTTGTTTTATGGAACTTACTGAATTCTAATTGCCCCCAAATGCCCTGGTACGGCCGAGATGCTCTCACACGACCACGCCCATACAGCCTCTGCCAGGGAAGTCCTACCCATTGCCTTCTCACACCAGGTGTTGTTTACGAAATTGAGAGGACGAAAAGCGAATGTCCGGCACTTTAACCGGGTTGGTGGACACGGAGAGTCCACCTAGGGGAGTCGGAAAACCCTCATTCCACACCAATGGCCCACATGGGCTCCAGCATCCTGAAGGAACAAATTACGTATGAACCAATTGTTGGCCACCGGCTACCATGGGACTGCATTTATTAAATTAGCTCCACTACATTGTGGGTCAGACCTTTAGGTCAAAGGCTCGGGGTGTGGCCCCCTAAGAAAACCACCTGCTTCGGTCTGGGCACCCGGGCAGTAACAGCCCACACACAAATAAAATGAAAATGACGATATTTACTGAAAATTCTATTCACGCCTCGATATTCATACTTTTTTAATATAACATATTCACTGTTATATCCTAGTTACTCGTAATTTAATCTTCACTGGGATATAACATTCACCAAAGTTGTACTTATGATATAAAACTAGAACACATTCGTTTATTATTTGACAGCTACCTAAATAAGTGATTAATTTGAAATAAGGAGACACTTTAATTGTATGTACTAGGTCGAACCACATTTGTTGAGAAAAAAACATTACGTCTCAGTGTTTCACATTTCTCAAAGGCAATCAGTTGACAAAAGACACTGTCAGATAGTATCATCTGCTGAGGTCTGATCTTTATCTAATCGAATTTAGGTGGAATTTCGTTCTTTGAGCTGAAGTTTGTGCTGATGATGTCGTTCAGAAGAAAGCTCCACGACCAAACCATCCAGCTCAGAGAAAAAAATAAACCTAAATCACCCATCTAAGCTACAATTCTTCGCCATCTCAAAAAGGTCGAATTCTATACTACTACACTGGTTGCACATGGTAGTTAGCGAACAGAGCGTGCCACCTTCTACATTGATTCAACGAGTTTTTTGTTGTTGAAAATATGGTTTATGATAAGTGTTGTTGCAAAAAGATTAGACGCATTACATCAGAATAAAAGTGTACTTCCCTGTATTCAGTGAATAACAATTAAAAAAGGTATGGGATGGGGAAAAGGTTTTCATAAAACTACTTTACTGATTTTAACTAGAACAATTTTTTTTTCAGAACAGCTGAAAGACTATCTTCAGCATGTATGATAAGAATGTTTAAAGAGCAAACATAAGTGATAGGATTGAATTCCAAATACAAACTCGTACTTTCCAGTACTTTTCAACACGTTCTGTGATATTTGCAAATAGGCGAGCACTCAAATTAGGAAGAACACAGTGGACACACTTGTAAGTATATTATAATTTTAACTAAAGTTTGGGGCGTGTTATTCAATAACGAGATCCCAAGGGAAATTTGAATATAGCAGTTCCAGATAAGCCATTATGGAACTCTAAATGTACTATAAAATCATATGAAAAGTTTGTTCGACAGTTCGTTTCATAATTCTATTGTTAACACTGAGCACCAGACTTATCATTTTAGTCGACAAGTTGACATTATTAGATTGCAATGCTACAATCAAGCTTGAAAAAGTTTTTATTTCGAATGTGACTGGTCATAAACTCCCTATTCTCGAATGTTGTAACTTGCTGATCAGAGATGATAACTGTTAAATTATAACCTGTGAATTTTTGGTTACTGATTGCGGACCATTTATCCTGGGGCTATAGAGTTTAAGAATGCCTCAAGTATAACTCTTCCTACTGATCAATGTAAATATTTCTGATAAAGTGTTTGATAACGTGTTGACTACAAAAATCAAGTGCGAAGATTTGAGATATTTGAAGTGAGTATTCCTTATACATTTCTTGTTTTAATATAATGGGAATTTTTCAGTGGTTACATAAAGCCCGACATTTGCATAAGCTGTGTGCTAGCTAATAATCTCTTTGTTTATTGATACGCCCCAAATCCAAGTTAAAAACATAATATACTTACAAATGTGTCCACTGTGTTATTCCTAATTTCAGCGCTGGTCTATTTGAGACTACCAGAGTATTTGTTGGACAGTACTGGAAATTACGAGTTAATATGCTAAATATTGATGATCTGCAATTTTACCCTCATCTGATTTTCAGCTAGCCGACAAATAACTTTACACATTCATTGTATTTCATATGTATATAGTAGGTTTAATTTCGTGATTTATATATCCACAGTGTTTAGCTATTCTTTTGTCCCGAAACATTTCTATTACGCCAGATATTAGGTGTCCGTCTGGTGGAAAAAAGTAACCACTTCAATTATTTTAATGACAAATTTCTTTGATCGTTTCATTATAAAAGGGACGAAATGAAACATTAAACGATTTTGATAGTTCGATCAAGTATATACGGTGATACAGGATATAGATAAGCCCAAAACACATTACAATACTAGTTCGTTTAAATCAAACAATTCAGTTGAAGTTGAAGAAAGTCATAATTACCGTTACAACAATATACTTATCAGATAACCAGTTAAATAACTTTGTACTCTTCTAACTTTAAAGAACATGTGATTATATAATACATGAAAATACAAGGTAAACCCACAAATACTAAATCTTACCATATACAAAACTAAGACATTTATCATACAAGATTGAGTAGTAGGAGGTTTATGTTTAATTTCATTCATAAATGAAAAATGATATGATAAACAAGTTAATGAAAATATCAGATGGGTTTTTGTGGAGATTGTAGTAATTTCAATGGTTAAGATCATGAGTCAGTTGAAGCTAGATCACCATGGAAAACCTGGAAGCACTGGCCGTCCAATGCTTCCAAGTTAATGAAAGTCAAACAGAAGCTTATATATGAGTTGACGATAAAAATAAATCCACATATATATAAACTGAAGCTACAGAAAACAACCTCCAAATAATCACATTGTCATCTATTCTTTCCACCTAACCATTCCCAATGTGAGAAGAATTATTTGAAAAAATGTAACAGTGAAATAAACATGACCGCTTTTCTTTCATTTAACTTTTAAAAAACGCACTTACATCTTTTGGAGCAGCAGTTGTGAACATTCCATTAAAGATTGAATCAATGTTGGCCATTTTCATTGCAGCTCTAAAAGATTAATAATAGTGATAAGAATAACAATAATGATAATAATAAGTGTATATAATGTCTAAATCTTAAGTACAGGAGAGAATACCTGTTCCATGATAACCGAATAGTTGAAATGATTCATTTTTTACTTCAACTTTTAAATGGTCAAATTCCATAATATTTCAACAATTCTCATTATTGCAAATGATTACAATGAAAACTGTCTAAGCTTAATCAATCAAATACCACTACAGAATACATGAAATGTGGCTAGGATTAGAAACTAAGAAACCATTACAAACTGAATTAGATATCATTACTGTTAGAATGGATATCATTATTTATGAGAGGTAGATCAATATGTTGAAATGATTGAGGTGATTAACTAGTCATAATCAATACGTAAAACTTGGCATAAATATGGGTTAGTCTAAGTTGCCACACTATATCACCATGATGAAATAAAATTAACACAAGTTTAAAATGGTATAATTTGCAGCATCAATGTTGTAAAGAAATATTGATGAAGTCAACAATTGTCATTTCATATTTGACAGTTAATTATCATTATCATTATGTTGTTCAACTTGGACTATTCGATGGAAAGGCGTAGAACTAATGAAGTATGTACATAAATGACTAGTCATTCTTACGCCCCCAAACGCCCTGGTACGGTTAGGGGTGGGGAAGGTCAGATCTTCTCCAAATGTTCTCACATGGACACGCCTTGACAGCAACTGACAACGACGTCCTACTCACTGCCTTCTCGAAGCAAGGGTATTGTTTACGAAATTGAAAGGACGAAAAGCGAATGTCCGGTGCTTTAACCACGTTGGTATAGATGGATACGGAGGATACACTTAGAGGAGTTTGAAAACCCTAAATTCAAACCAGTCGTGCACATGGACTCCAGGATCTTAAGGAAACAAATGGCGTATGAACCCAATGATGTTCACTTACTAACATGAGATTGCATCTCCTAACGTTGCTTCACTGCGTTGTGGATTAGACCTCTAGATCAAAAGCTCGGGGAGTGGTCTTTTAAGAAAACCACCTGCTTCTGTCTGGGGACCCGTGCAATATCCTGGCCCTCACACAAATCAAATGACGAAGTGTTTCGCATATGTATTTGGTGCCTTTTTGTACCAAAACTTATGTGTTTAAGTAAATAAATAAATAATCATTCTAATATCTATGTTATTCCACCTATAACTGTGTCACTATTTATACGATGTGTACTCGATTGACTAGACAAAGATGTATTTCATCACTTAGACAAGCAACCACGGCACAGTAAGTGGGACAAAATTAAATGTTATACAATATGCTTCATACTTTATAAACAATTAGATATTATGATCATGGCGATAACAAAAAAAGCCAAATGATCCCATTTTTTAACATACCTCCAGGTATTGTCTTACTGGCCTAACTATTCAAGCCACTCAAAAGACTGATTCTGGTCATGCTATCCCACCAACATTGTCTTTTGAAAATTCTCATATAGTAAAATAAATAAATCCAAAAAACTAATGAACCAAAACCTTTTACAATGTAGAGGTGTTAACATACCGGCAACTTGAGCCTAAATAATGTGTACTAACGTCTCACGTTCAATCTGTTATCTTACTACTATGGTTGTTAAGTGAGTTCCAATTTTTCGTATCTAAACGATCAAAACCATCATTGAGGTATTTTAATTTTTTACACCTAGTAATACCAGTTACTACTTCTAAGTATTGTCTTTTTTCATCAACTTTTCCATTTTCGTCCAGTGAATCATTATCTCTCATATTTATCAGCCACCATTTTTACTACCTTTTGTTAATAACTCAGTGGGTTCCAATCCTAGAGGGAAGAATATCAGTTCCCTTACGATTGCAAGTACACCTAGTTGATGGGTGCAAACTAGCACGAAACCTAGATTTATTGTTATGTCGACTGATTTCAACCACTGTACAGTCTACACATCTCATTTGGTCTGAACCATTATTCCACACTTTCCATTGGTTATATAATTACTATGGATCTTTGCACTGGAATTTTTGGCAACTAACTGTCAACTAACAGATCATAATAATATTGATTATAAAATAACAAATAACAAAACTAATACATCATCATATTTACCTGTTCATAAAAATCCCCTTCTTTATCAATTCATATGGATTACAACGTTCATGACTTTTAGTGACATTCAATTTTGATAAATAATCCAACTGATTCTATACATAAGTAAGAAGACGAATGAGAAAGATGATTAGATTATCATCCCAAATGTAATACAAAGACAAAAGAGGAAAAAAAATGTGCAGCCAAATTAAACGCAGTCTATGTAATCAAATGTCAATTGCTGGATGTTGAATACGATTTTAACAACATTCTATAATAACTAACATGTGCTTACCAATGACTAACTTTGAAATGTGATTCGCGAAGTTATAGTGAGAAGTTGTGACTAGTAGAGTTCGACTATGTCGGGGGTGAGATAAGTATCATCACTGACAATGGATGACTTGCGAAATATTACGAGTTATTTTGGAATTAGACATGTTGGCCACTGGATATCAACTCAATAATCTAAAGGTTAAGTGCTCATAGTTAAACCTGAAGGTTCTGAGTTCTATCCTCAATGGTGGACCCATAAATACTCACTACTAAGTGATCCCACAGTGGGATTAGACAGTTGTCCAGAGCTTCCTTATTTCCAATGAGTGTTTAACCGAAATCAGTTCGTGATGTTAAACTCCAAATACAAACTAACCAACTCAAATCCGTAGAAAAGAACAAGATAATTCACTCAATTCTGAAATATCACCAGTAACCTAACCAGGGGTTCGGTTACCGATATCCATTCAAGAGACTGAGAGTCGCAACGCAATCACTCAGAAGAAATCAACTCAGATAATAAAATTTATTATTATTGAAACTCGAAATTCAGAAGTGAACAGAGAATAAATACACTCGAACCCCCTGAAATCAATTTTAAACAACATTACCATTGATTACGATTGAGATGACGCCAACCAGAAGGTCTATACATCAACGCGGGGATTACTGAGACAGAATATTCTTGAACTTATCCCACTTCCCCATTTGAATGTCCCCAATTTTCTCAAAACCTAGTTTTATACTAGTACTGGACATACAGTAAACTAAATGGACGATTAAAAATGTGTGTAAATGTCTCGAAAATAAACTAACAATCAAATATTCTACTACTTTTTTACAAAACATATATAACTATGTAAACTAGTTGAGAAACGTCAGCGAACCTTATAATTTAGAACTTCTTGAACAAGATGGATCGAGCAGAATTTATCTTCATTATCTAACTCTTCAATAGGCGGACCTAAAGCCTCCGGTTCATCGGGACTGATAATTAGAGAATTCAATTCCAATAAGGAATTAATAGAAGGTCCGCCTTCCATTGACCATGACCACGTACGATCTCCATCAGCTGTAGTATAATCATCATCACAACCTTCATGCCAGACTAAATTTGGATTGGAAGATTGATAGAGTTCGCCTGAGAATGATTCAATCTTTTTATCAGATGACGATGTTGTTCTTACTGAACCGAGACCACTTCTGCCTTTTTGTTTACTCAATGCAACCGGTTCAACTACACCGTGAGCATTAACACCCAATCCTTGACCATGTTCATAACCCATCTTTCGCTATTGACCCAAAAAAAATTTTAAACAAGAGAAATTGTAATAGGAAAGTTAAGCATTTATTTCTGTAATTTAAGTGAGTATATAAGCAGATTTTTCAATTAATTTACGACAAACGACAGTATCACTATAAGCATACATTTCATTTATTTTCAAACTTAACCCTTCTAAATATATAAATATCATTTTCTATTTATTAAGCTTGTCGTTTACCGTAATGTTGCAAGAGCGTAATACCGGCTAGTTAATTGTATGCTCTCTTGTATTTAGATTATCATATTTGAATAAGTGGTAATCAGTCATCTATCTTTATTTCATTTGTATACACATATCTAATGCTTCAAATCTTTTATTTCACGCATATAATTTAACTTAAATTAATTTGAGAAGTCTTGTCAAAGCGTCAGTGCTGCTTAATCTCACATGGGACACGCACTCAATAACCAGACAGTCTGATCAACTAGATTTGAGCCGAAATAAGTTATTTTTGGGGTAATATAATAAGTAGAGGCATATATTACAATAGAGATATGCGATGTACTAGATATTTCTTTATTCGCTGACCAATCAGGTCACTTCGGATTGACATATTAACTACATAAATAACACTATGTTAAAGCTCACGACGTTACTCGACCGATTCGAAGCTATTACCTATTGTTTGAAAGTTAAATATTCTTCGAACACTAAACTCCACTAGATAACCTATAGTATTCTAATAATACTGTAACTCTAAAAAAAGCATTACGTTGCCCACAGGGCACTTCGATATTCAAGACTGATGACAAAAACGTCCCGAATAAGTACGTCTTCAGCTAGAACTTACCATAATTTTCCAAGCTACATCGTCAAGTGGATCAGATAGCTGTAAAAAAAAATAGACAAGATAAAACCTGGTGAATGGCATGCTTTCCATTTAAATCTTTTTGTGCAATGAATATAATTTTATTTAGAATGTATTTTGCCTAACGATTGTCCGTCAGTCAGTTATAAGAGACAAAAGAATATGCATCAAGTAGACATCGACCCACTGTGATACTCACATCAGTACAGCGAAATGAACTTATTATTATTATTATTATTAGTAGTAGTAGTAGTAGTAGTAGTAGTAGTAGTAGTATCAGAGGCAGTAAAAGACTAGATATAGAATGTAATTCGTGAATAAATTCGCGGAATGAAAAGTATAATATTGGGAAACTCAGGATTAAGAAGGTAAACAAATTAAATGGATCTGTGCCGCTGTAACAGACTTCTAACTGTTGCCAAAAGTCTCCAACTATTGGTCACCATAATCTTCCCCCAAACAATTGGTCTCAGCTATCAACATAAGGCCAACAATTAACTTTATCAACTGACTCCCTTTCTCAGTTTAGTTTTTAGTAGTTTTTTAATAACTTATAATATCAACAAAATATATATCCTACTTAACTTCATACATCTTCGGTCGACTAAACATGTTAATGAGAAAGAAGGCATAAAAATTTGGATAACGATTAAATTTAGAAAATATATACTTCGTGCAAGTAAATGATAGACGGTAGACAAACAATAAGTAATGCAGCCGACGTCTAACTCAACGTAGTTCGGTACGATAGACTTAGATAATATTAGGGTGACTCAGTTGTTTCAAGTATTTGAAGATAAACACACGTACGTATCATAGTTTAGTCACCAGAAGATGGAGAGTAGAATATGAACCTACGATTGGAACCAGATATTATTTGCTTAAAATAGGTATGGATGTTCCACAACCATATAATGAATACATAGCTTAATGTAAAAAAAAATAACTAAGCACTACATATTAAGACTATTTACCTTGTGTTTTTCAGCTTTTTTCATTGAACGTTCGTCAGACATCTATAATGCGAATAAGCATCTTAAGTTAATATACATTGTCAAGAAGAAAAGAACAAGTCTCTTGTTTTGTATTTATTCACATGTTTTGTACAGCTGGTAACAAAAAAGGAGTATTACAAGTAGGGCATATCGGATTAAACTCACAAAATACAGACAAACATATCGAACAAACATAACCAATATCAATCAATCGTTTATGACAAAAGCATGCAGCTCGAAAGTCAACACCACTGGATCGACTATCTGGAAGTAAAAGAGATGTTCTCATTTTAGATGATGGCAAAAATACTGACAACAAATACTGTAGTAATCCAGAAACTCTTGGTACTTGCAAGTAAATTCCACCAGTTAGATCTGCAGCCTGCTGAAGAAGACTTGAGTGTCCAAGAGAACTTAGCCCACATCTGCTATTTAAATTATCTGACTGTTGTGGTAACGATAACACACATGTGTCTATTGGAACATGAAGCTTTTGAGCTGTGAACACAGAATTCATCAACGCTAAGTATTGAGAAGAATTGTCATCAGACGCCTTAATAATCAGTATCCGAGAAGAAATCTTTTCACTCCCTTCGCTAAACTCCATAGTCATCTCTAAAGAGTCATTTAAATGCCTTGTAGATGGCTGCAATTCACGACACCGCCGAAGGTAATAACACAATGCTTTTATTATCGCACCAGCCAAAACAATTTGTGTGCTTGTAGAAGAACAAGAGGTCACAAGGTTTAATGCTAGTTGCCTGACAGCGTTATTCATACAGCTAAGTGCGTCATTCTGGCCATCATTTGAAGCACTAGTTGGAGGTTCCGATTCGTTTGGATAAATAAACTTTATTTCAGAAGGTGTAACTCCTATTACTGCTAACTCGTTATGTGGAGACAACATTAAATGACTATTTGCGAAACCAAGAGCTGCCTCAATGCAATTTGGCAAACTAAATTCACTTGTACAAGAACCCCATGAGGCGGGGGTCATATCTAGTACCAACAATAATAGATTTCTTAATTCTGTTGACGACATTGTAGAGATCAAGCAGAAAAATCTAGGAAAATTTGGACAATGATATTCTCGAAATCGTCAGGGGAAACTGATGTTCTTTTGTTTTGCTTGGCAATAGCGATAGATCGAGTAAGGGTCTCTAAGAAATATGCAATTAATCCAGAAAGAACCTAACCTGATAAATAGAGTTCTACTAAGTGATCACAAAGGGAAGCTGCTTCGCTATTAACTAGAAGTAGGAATAAGCTCAAAAATGACATACTTTTCGTTTTCGAATCCACAAAAAATGATTTTATAATTGACGTGGTAATTTGTTCCTAGTGGGTAAACACCGAGAAACCTAAACATACCATGAATTGTCCTATCAGCTGCTACAGCACCATTGGATGACCGATCTCAGTTGAAATCTACAGGTTACTGAAACCTTGAATTTGATGTTAGAAAACAAACCACTATCCGTACCTTACATCTAGATGTAACGTCTTTGGGAAGAGCTAGTCAGTGAGTCCACCTTCGATTGCCAACTGGAATCCACATGCATCCAGATAGGCCACATGGCGCCAGGATCAAGCACAAAAGCAATCTGTAGCTGACCATACGGTTTCAAATTGAAAGCATAAACTGCTTATACATGAGCGCCGCGAGTTTACCAAATAAAATGAATGAGCTATGTGAACTTGACAATGCTACTAATGCTCATCTGATTGGAATATCTAAAACTTGGATATCTTTTTAGGAGCTGGCAATATCTGGGATATCTTTGTTTCGCAACGACAGAAAAACAGGAATTGGGGGTGGAGTAGCCTTATACACAAGATCATGCCTGGAGGCACATCAAGTTCACAACCAAGAGTTTATCAGTCTTGATGAATCTGTATGGTGCTCAGTAAGATTGTCTACCACCTCTATGTGTCTCGTTGGAGTCATCTAAAGGAGGTGAAAACTCAACTGAAGCTCGGTTCTTCAACTTCATTGAGGATCTGGGATTATTCGAGAATGTGGAGTCGGCAACTCGTTGGAGAAACAGTCAGATACTGTCGCGCTTCGAGTGGGTATTTACAAACGAAGAATTCCTAGTTGACAACCTCTCAATCTTGGCTCCCCTGGGGAAAAGCGATCACGCTGTTATAGCTTTCAGTTTTGTCAGCAAAACTGAGCTAAGATATACCACCAACAACAGGCGCTGGAATTTCAAACGGTTGAATATGTCAGCTTTATAGGACTATCTGCAACAGGTGGATTGGGATGTTCACCCTCAACTTGATGTGGATGTTCATTGGGACTTCTTACTGCACACGTTCTTATGTGCTACAAAGCATTCAGTTCCTCAAACGGTCCCCAAAAGCTACAAGCAACCTACAATCATCAAGAACCGCACTCTTTGCTTGCTAAGCCGCAAAAAGTACTGTTGGGCAGAATACAAACAAACTGACAACGGCGCGTACAGGCAATACAAACATATAAGGAACATATGCACCAAATCAATAAGAGAAGACAGGCTTCAGTACCAGATAAAGCTGATGGATAAATTTGTCTCCAATCCGAAAAGCTTATTGCGCTATGCAGCCTCTCTTCAACAAGCCAAAACTGTAGTTTCCCAACTGCTAGGTCCTATTGGCCCGACCAATAACGACGGTGACACCGCTAAGCTTTTGGCTGAACAATACTTTCGGACATTTCAACCGACCCATATCAACTATACTGATGACAGCTTCATTTGCAACTTCACAGGACTTTCCAAAGTGAATCTGAGCGCTAGCTTGGTATTCTGGAAACTGCAGCGCCTAAGAAAATACACTTCTCCTGGCCCAGATATGGTTCATTCTGCTATATGAGGGAGGCAGCTTCAATCCTGGCAACACCAATCAGCGCGATGTTCTCACGCTCGCTAAGCCGAGGCAAACTTCCGGAAACTTGGAAGTTGGCTCACATCACACCAATTTTCAAAGGAGCTCGACGCAACGGACCTTCAAGTTACGACCGGTGGCTCTTCTCTCTATACCTTCAAAAATCATGGAATCCCCGATATGCGATGTAAGATATGACTATTTGATGTCCTTAAGTTTTTTCTTACCCCAACAGCATGATTTCAGGAAGGATTAATATTGTATGGCCAACCTGTTGACCGCGGTGGACATATGGACAAGCATCCTTGATAGTAAGGGGAAGGTTGATATCATTTACCTTGATTTCTCAAAAGCTTTTGATAAGGTTAACAGTATGTGTCTTATCAATAAGCTCAAAAGATTGGGTATCAGACCACCTCTATTTGACTGGCTCATTTCATATCTGAAAAATCGACATTTTAAGGTCAGGGTTAACTTCAATTTATCTCAGGCTATGGAATGTCCTAGTTGTTTCCCCAGGGCTCAGTACCAAGACCTCTTCTCTTCCTGATTTATATAAATGATCTCCCACAACAGGTGTCGTTAGACTTATTGCTTTTCGCTGATGACGTGAAACTTTGGAGAGAGATACGCAACCATGACGATATACAGGCACTTCAGGAGAATCTGACGCGACTTCAAAGTTGGACAGGCGCTAACAGACCTTTCTTTAATACTTCAAAGTGTAAAGTAGTTCATTTGAAACATGTTGCAGACTAGAGTCACAACTTAAGAGACTCCTCTCTAGTCCTGAAGCCCTATGATTCGAAGTCGCACGCTAACTGTGACAGAAATGCCTTTCGAGCAAACCTTGCACTGATAACATCGAAGCGCATTCTTGGACAGTTTGACGATAGAACTTTCCACATAATTTTCAACAGTTTTATTCGTCTCCATTTAGAGTACGGAAACATAGTATTTCCTCCCTCATTTCAAAAGGATAAGGACGCTCTGGAGCGTATCCAACGACGAGCCACCAAATCAGTTCAGGACTCAAATTTGAACATTATAAAGAGCGCCTTCTATCACTCAACCTTTACCCATAAGAGTATAGGCGTCGTAGATGTGACCTTCTGATGGCTTACAGTATCCCTAACACTTCTGGACATCCCCTTAAACACCTACATAAGTTTAGCTCCGACACAAACCTAAGGGGTAACACCCAGAAACTGTAGACACAATACAGCAGAACGGACTGTAGACCCAACCTCTACTCCTTAAGAGTTGTCAAATGCTGGAATTCACTGCTGACTAAACTAGTCCAAGCGACTTCCCAGGAGTCCACTAAGAGGAAACTTGACCTATTCTTAAGGAGTAAGGATAACATCTCACTATGATTTACCAATTTTTTCCCTCTATTATCGTTAATATACCTAGATTCCCTCCTGGAGGTATTGGTGGCCCACCGCTACTAGACACAGAAGCCTGTTAAGCGAAAGTTTCTTCCATTCCGTCCACAACCATTGGAACCATTTGAACCGTCATTTTCTGACAAAAAAATTCTACGGATTTTATTTCAAGACGGTATCTCGTAGAAGCTGCATCAAGTTCAGTTACTTTTAAGCAGTTGTGGGGTATATAGAATAAACTTTGCCGTATTGATCTTTCATGTCCATACTTGGGTTTTCTCTCTCCACCACATAAAACTGTGAAATGACGATTAGTTCTGACATGCAAAGAAAGGATGAGGAGATTACTTATGAATTCTGATGCTGGATTTCTCAAAGCTAAATTTTGATAGACTGAAGTCGTATCAAACTAACTGGAACACTAGTTGGAATTCATCTCCACGATAATACTTTTGTTCCTTCAGTTAGCCTACTAATGCTAATGAAATTGAAAATCAACTCATGGACAACTTACTAGCATGAACGTTATTTGATTTCATAATTTAAACCAAAACTAATACCAATAATAACATGTCTACAATATTCATTACTTTAATATTTCTAAACACAAATTACTTTTCACTTATACGTTAAGTTATTAACCAACGGCTATAAACACGCATCGTTTTATTATTATTATTATTGTAATCCCATTTTCTATAGCTCAAATAATCTTCACCCAAATTTTCATTCTAAGCGTGTTAAGCATGAAGGCAGGTATTTTAAAATTATTACATGTATTTCCCGACCAGGTACTGCCGCCTTCTTTTTGATTTATCTTTCAGCTTATCATTACCTGGAGGATTCTTACTAGTCTTGGTAACCTTCGGCGCACGACAATCCCGTCCAATTCGGTATCGAACCAACATCACGTTGATTCTGGTGGGAGAGTAGTGTAGTGGCATTGGACAGTAACCACACAACCCACAAAGCTAAACACGAGACTACTCGGAAAATAGATATTCAATATTTAACGCGGGGAAATACCTAACGATAAAAAAGGCAGGAACAAGGAATTGAATGAATTGGAGTTGGTCGAATGGCACGGCTCGGCCATGCGGGTGTGGTCCCTACTGAATGTTACCTTATATCTTTTATTCATATTAAATATATTGTTCTATCTCCAGCCTAAGCCTGTTCTTCATTATGTATTGGTAGTTGTTACGATACAGTGAGTTGGTGTAGACGATGATGTGACTTCCACGTAAGATCTTATAGATTAGGCAGTTAAATCATGAAAACTCTACAAATTTAGGATTAGGTCTATTATTAGAGCAGTACTAATATCATAGTAGACCATAATTCTACAGAGCTACAGGTGGAGTGACATTGTAGAGAGGAGAACGTTATGAAAACTTCTTCGACATTACGGAGTTCCTGAAAAGATTGTCAATATTATCCGGAACTCATACGACGGACTACAATGCAAAGTCGCGCATGGAGGACAGCTGACAGATACATTCCAAGTAAGGACCGGAGTCAGACAAGGCTGTCTACTCTCTACCTTCCTGTTTCTTCTGATGGTCGATTGGATTATTAAGACCTCGACATCTGAGGGAAAATACGGCATACAATGGACAGCTCAGAACCAGTTTGCCGATTTGGACTTTGCAGATGACCTAGCCCTCCTATCGCATGCAAATGAACAAATGCAGATGAAGACAACTAGTGTAGCAACAGCCACTGCATCAGTAGGCCTCAGCATACACAAGGGGAAAACCAACGTCCTCAAATAAAACACGGAAAA